CTCTTCATACTGTAAAGACTCAGCCAATGAAAGCAAGTATGTTCTCAGCTGTTTTCTACATCCTGGTCATGGATGGCACAAAAAGACAAACAACATGGCAGCCTCCTAAAAGTGAGGCTGGTATGATAAATGGACATGGCATCTGCGATGTCACCCATTCTTGAGTGAGAGAGCTCCGAAGTCTACGGGCGGTGGGGGCAATACTGAGAATGCTGACTGGACCTGAGATTTGTTCAACCTTAAAGGCATGCCTTTAACCTCTTGGATAATAACTACAGTGTGCCTGCCTGCCTGCCAGTCAGTCAAGTCAGCCTAGCTCAGATTTCATCAATCCTGTAACCTTTAAAACCTAAAAACAAGAGTGTAACAGAAAATTCACTCCCCTGTATTATATGTGGGAGCCCTGAGCTATTCAGACCAAAACACTTTTTTGAAGCAGGCGGTAATTTTTTTTTATTCTTGCTCCAAAAACAGACTATTTTTGTGTCATGTGTATGTGGTTCCCCGTGCTTCTGCAGCCAGCTTTAAGTGGACACTTGAGGAACTGCTGTTTGTAGCTCCCCTGCATCAGTTAATTTCTCAAGATTAGAGGTTTCCTGCTTGGTCTGTACAGGTGCAACATGAGTGAGACTAAATAGGAATTAGGATGTTACATTTTGAAGGCCTCTGCTTCTGGGAGAACAATGTTCACTACAGGACACAGTTGTGTTCAGAGATTTCAAAAACTGTGTATACAGGGGATGTGGTCTTTGTAAATTATTGTACTGTTTGTGTATTTATAAAAAGAGTGTTTGTGCAGATGAAAAACATCCTATTTGCTCTCTGCAGTCAGCTGCATTGGGGGGACTCGTCAGACTCACAGTTTAAATAATAATAATAATAATAATAATAAAAGATTTTAAAAATATATATTAGTGTATCAAACCTTAGCCTCTCTCACAGATTTTCACTCAGGAAGATTATCTTCTTTTATTTTCTGACAGCAGCTTGTCTGAGTAAAAAAAAAAGGGGGGGATGCAGAGATAAGTTAGGGCCTCTCGTTGTTTGCCTGTGTGAACAAAATAATGGACCTGTCTTTATGTGGAGTACATGCTGTGCTGAACCCTCTGAGGAGTAATAAGAGTCTCATTTTCACATTCTGCTTCTTCTGCACTACGTTTCAGAGGAATTACAATCCAAATGTGAGGACATGCATCAGTATGTTCAGGATACTTTCAAACCAGTCTGAGTCAATCATCAGAACATAACTCCATGTAAGAAGAATCATCAGATGTTAGTTCAAAATACACTCAACCAAACTTTGCTTTTATAGTTATATATTAATAACAGCTATGTTTGTGGTGGAAGACGAAATGGTGCACAGTTTTCTACCTTAAATAAGTCTACATTTTTATTTCTATTTTTAGGGTTGTTTGATTTTCATTGCAGGACTTTCACACAAACCAAAGTACAGAGGCCGTCTGGAATAAGTGCTAGCTAGGGAGGATTGATGAGGATTGATAACCAGTAATAATGAATTTGTCAACATATTTTGTGTTTTAAAAGACAAAGGCAAATCTTCAGCGAGCCAGACCTTATCCATAGAAATATTCTGTACTTACCAGAGAAATGTCCCATTCTTTCCTGATGCAGGACTTAACCACGAAACAGTTCGGGATCTCCTTTTTTGTAATTTTCTTTTCAAGATGGCCCAAATGTTTTCAGCAGCTTACAAGACCAGGCAGGCCAGTTCAGCAGCAGTACTCTTCTACTATAGAGCCATGCTGTTGCAATCCCTGCAGAATGGGGTTTGGTGAAATATGAAGGTTTTACCTGAAAAAGTCGTTCCTGAGACATGGTTGACCTTAGGTACGACTTTATCAACTTCAGTTTTAAGAAGCTCCTCTCTGCATGAGCCACCGTGACTGGCAGAGTAAGAGCAATCCTGAGAGCAGAGCTGTCCCCTGCGACCCCCTCCCCGTTTCGTCTCATACAGTCTGTCAGCCTCTGTGCGGCACCTTCGCAGCAAGCAGGGGTGCCTACAGCAGCAGGGGGGTGCCAATTTGACAACAAGAGTTAAGACAAAACCGCTTTGCGGCACAGATTTATTATTATCATTATTTTATTTTTTTGGAAGTGCTTGTGCCGCCCCCCATAAGTCAATACACAAATGCCTCCCCGAGTGGCTGCCCTGTTCGCCTGTGCCTAGAACCGCTACTACGTGTAAGCCACTCATGCCATGGACACCTATATCTACACCAGGGATACTTGATTTTGAGCTGTGCACTGGAAACAAGCCAGATAGTCCCTCCTCTTCAGAGCAAAGGGTTTAAACAACATACACTTTTGATTGGCCAGAATACAGGACAGTGTTCTACCTTGCCTCAGCTGAGTATAGTTTAAACCTGCTTTGCGTTATTTTTGTCATTGTCATATATTGAGCCTTGAAAGGTACAAATAAATACACAATACACAAAATTACAGTGCTCAGTATAATATCAGTATTAAACAAAATTGATTGAACAAACAAACAAATAAAACAACAGGGTCCCCCCTCCCACCATAATCATTACACCACTCCTCCTCCCACATTCCCCTGCACACTTTGTTCTTCTTTGTAGTAGCAGTCGTATGTGTTCTCTTTCTTAGGCCATGAGATAAATGGCTGCCATATTATGTCAAACGTGTGTGGGTTTTTTTTTTCAAGATATACCCAATCTTCTCCAAGTGTAGTGTATCAGTTAACTGGTGTAACCATAGTTTAGTAGAGGAAACCAAAGTTTCTTCCCATAGTGCAGCTTTTCACCAGTAATCAAGCTATTGGAGACAAATTCCTTGCTGAGTTGATGTAAGTTTTTTGGATGTTGTGGACATGCCAAGGACGGTCAGCCAAGGGTTTGGTTCTAGTAGACTATTAATAATTTCAAACATGATTTTAAACACATCTTTCCAGAATAAGGCCACCTTCAGGCATGAAAAAAGTGTGGGCAAGGTCCACTTCAGAGGCACTACATTTGTCACAAATAGGTGATATACTGTGTAAATCAGTTTCAAGACTTCTTGAACAGGAATCGACATACCCATTTTGGCTTCCCAGCTCAATTTCTATTTTTCAGAGGGAGGTTTCTTTGAGTAAGAAATTATATGTACAAGAGATAAATTTGTTCTCATGAGGAGATGTAGAAAAGTGGTTGTCTGTAACCTACTTCTTTTCTATCTCAAATCCAGTTTTTTCGAGCACAGTCCCTTTATTAAAGCTATCTAAAAAAAATTGTCAGCTGGGAGAGTGTATCTCCACTGCAGTTGTGCAAAGGAGGCAAATCTGCCAGTTATGTTATAATAAGGTGGATATAATCTTGATAAAAAGAAATTCTGTGTGACGTTTCCTTAGTGTTGTAGCAGTGAATTTGGCGGTCTAATCTTATGATTTGAGGAAGTGGTTCTATTGAGAGTGCAAATATAAAGGAGGAAAGTGGGTAGCCTTGTTGAGTACCCCTGAACAATTTAAAAGAAGGTGATAATTTCTGATTAGTGAGAATTTGTGCCGGTGGTCTGACAAGAATTTATCTCCAAGATTTGAAGGTCTTCAAATAGATAGACCATTCGATTTGATAGAAAGCTTTTTCCAGATCTAATGAAAGTACGACAAGATCATTTTCTCTCCTACTTTAACATGATATTTAAAACGCGTCTCAGGTTAGAGGTGGAGTTTATATTGAGTATTCATCCAGTTTGTTCTGGATGTATCAGTTTATCAATCAGAAGACTAAGTCAAAATGTTAGCCAAAATCTTTGCAAACAATTTTCCATCAGTATTGAGTAGAGAAATTGGGCAGTATGAGCCTCCCTCTTGTGAATCCTTCCCCTTTTTTAAATAGATAACTGTAATTACTGCTTTAGTTTATGTTGGTGACTGACTGAACCACCATCTGACTGAGCCTGTTAATACATTCTATGTAGATAAGGTAAGAGAACGGTATGAAATTTTTTATGTTATGTTAAGTTTACCTGGAAGTCAGTCTGAGCATTGGGCTTTCCCATCTCTAAAAGAAGAAATAATTGTTTGTTGAATTTCTGGGCCTTTAAATTCCTCAATGAGTAGTTGATTACCATTTTTACTGAGTTTGGGAAGACTACATTTGTTAAGGACTGTCATAACTTAGGGTTCGGCTGTAGTTACAAGTAAAGATTGATATAAAATTTTAAAAATCTACTGTTTATATTTTTGTCATTTCCATTGATACTTTTAATAAAATGTATGGTTCTGTCATTTTTCATCTTCCACAATTGATGTGCGAGTAGTTTATGTGGTTTGTCTTTGAATACGAAGAACTTTTGTTGAGTGTATCAAAAACTCTGCTTATTTTTTTTTCTTTCATAAAAGTAATAAGTTGTATTCATATTTCAACTAAACTAAACTAAAACAGAGGAAGGTCTTTGAAAGTTTTCATTATCCAAGTCTTTTATTTGTTTTTCCAGTTCTTGAATTTTTAATGCCTTTTTTTCTTTTTGTAGCTTCATATGATATGACCAAACCCCTCAAAAAGGCCTTAAAAGCTTCCCACAATGTTGTAGGTTTTGTCTCTAAGGTATCATTTTTTTCAACATATTAATCTGTGTGTCCAGGTACTCACAGAATCTTTTATCAGCTAATAAATGAGGAAATGATGTTGCCTTTACACCTCACATGAGATGTTCAATTCTTGAAAGTACACCGAGAAGAAAAGTGGGCTGTGATCTGAGATTCCTATAATGTGATAATTAGCGTTCAATACAAATGGTACTAATTTTGCATCTACTAAAAACTAATCAATTTAAGGAATAGTCTCTACCAGTATAGTGGAGCGGGAATATGAGATAATAGTGCAAATGGTGCTACAAGCATGAAATTTGGTACAGAGATCCTTTATACCACTACTAATCAAAATATAACCTCTGGCCACCTGGGCGGCGCCATTTTTCAAGATGGCCGCCAGCTTTTAGAAATAGCTGCCACCAGGTTAACGTTTTAGACTCTATCACTCTGCTGCAGCTATAAATCATACATTTACCCTACCTTTGAAATAATATAATATGTTTTAGGTATTTATACCAATTAAAAACAACATATTAGGTTCCAATATGGCAGCAAATATCCAATATGGCGGCCTAGTCACACTCTAAATTGATTTTTGAAAGGATGATCAAAATGGTGATACAACCATATAATTTGGTACATATGACCTTTATATGACCATATTTTAGAATCAACCTTTGGCTAAGCAGATTTCAACCATTTTAAAAGATGGCCGCCCAGAAATAGAAATGGGAAGAATTCAGTATTTTGTTGGTCATTATAGCTGCTGTTTGGAAGTTTGTAATATATTTATTCATAGTAGATCAGGGTTATTTATATGTCATAGACATGAGCTATTATGAAAGGCCATATTTGTTTTAAAAATGGCCACACCATATAACATGACAAATCAATAATATATTGTGTAGTGTCATTACACTACCAGGGCACACTGGTTGACACTATAGCTGTGAGACTCAGCATGGGGTTCAATGCTAGCTAGTAAATTTGTCTAAATAAATTGTCTAGTTTCCTAAATGCTGTTTAGTTTGCCCCAAGTTAAAGTTAAACAACCGCACCTGAATTGACAGGATGTGCCAGCGCGGGAGAGCCGAGCCAAGGAAGATGGGGCTTTAGTCTTCTGGAAGGTGTACAGCTCACACAGGAATTAAATAGCATTGGATGAATGATCGGGCTGGGGGTAGGGTAGTGATCTTGTTATTATCTGAGCCCAGTTGTATCCCATACTTTTTAGTGTAGAGTAGTACAGTAAGTTGTCTTTAATAGGTGGTATATAAGGATAATCCCCCGGCCTAGACAACAGCAATTGACACACAGACAGAAATACACTCCACGCCTTCATCACAGGCAGATAGTAGGCCTGTATCTAGTCCAACCAATTGGGAATTATGCTGTTTGTGCCAACAAAACATCAGTGAAAGGTTAACTAATGCCACAGGCAGTTGTTATCTGACATTGGCTAACAATATTCCCGAATTTCACAAAATGAACTGCATGCCAATTCTTTTTGACCCAAAGCAACTTGATGATGGTGATGGAATTTAAAAGCACAAACAAACAAACAAAAACAAACAAACACATACAAACAAAAAAACTACCCACCTAGCGCCCAGTCAGTACCCACATGGACAGCCCAAGTGGGAACCAAGTGTATCCCACGAACTTCCCATGTAGGAAGCCCACCTTGAAACATATGTGGGTCCTACCTGGGCGTGCTGGTCTGGGTAATGGTACCTATGTCACTAAAATGCAAACAAATCACTTTAAATGTGTCATCATAAATTGATTCTATCTATGGAAATAAATACAACTATGTGCTGCATGCTCTTATGGCTTAACCGTGAACTGCAGTATATTTCTGCTATTTATCGGCAGCCATATTGGAAATTTGCCACCATATTGGAACCCAATATCTTATGTTTAATTGGAATAAATACCTAAAACATTAAAAATAAATCAAAATGAAGGTATGTGTAAGTTTTATAGCTGCAGCAAAGTGATACAGTCCAAAACGTTGACCTGGTGACAGCCATTTCTAAAAACTTGCGGGCATCATGAAAAATGGCGCTGCCCAGGTGGCCAGAGGTTATATTATGATTAGTAGTGGTATAAAGGATATCTGTACCAAATTTCATGCTTGTATCACCATTTGCACTATCGCCTCAAAAATCAGCATATTCCCGCTAGACTAGTAAGGTTCGGGGTTCTTCAAACATCCAGAGGATTTCGTTCCTTAAAAAAACATTTAGTAAGATAAAGATCTGAAAATCTGGGAACTAAATTGTTACCAGGAAATTTCTTCACCAATGTGTTTCTAAAGGTATCTAATAACATGTACTGAAAGTTTGAAATTCAACTCCTGTGGGAAACCTCTCAAAAAACTTCTCAAAGTTGGGGTACTTATAACCGATTTTTGACAAATCAAAGGTGCTTTAATTGGACTTCAGTAACTTGTGAGGGGTCAAACTAGTGATTTTTCATTATTCTGAGTTGATTGCTATCATTTATTTTTCACCACAACCATTCCTTAGTGGAAAAAATGAAACTCCCACCTTTGCATTTACATAGAAAGTTGCATTTATTTCAATTAGTTGCACAATAATTAGATCAAATACTAATCCACCTTCTGAAATGCTTTAGGTGTCAATGTCTGAGTCTTCATCAAAACCATCATGAATGGCATTCTTGCAGGTAATGCCTTTGCAGACTCCACAAGCTGAGATGCACTTGACGCCATTCTTCTTGCAGCTGCATCACCGATTGCTGCAATCTCCATTGCAATTGCAGCTTGTAAACTGGAGTAGCTCTTCAGGAGCCATGGGATCTAGAATTGGAACTGGCTCATAACCATGAACACCTTATGTCCATCCATAGTCTTTGGGGTCCAGAGACATGCTCTGTAGAAGGAGCCAGTCTTGTGTCTGTAGGCAGGCACGGAGCAAATGCTGTGCAGCTGCACCCTCTGTTGGAGGTAGAGTCTCCGGTTTGATTAGCCCAGCTGCTGCCTTACGTGAGAAGATGTTGTATCGAATTGCCCCTAGAGTGGGACCTGATCCATTGTAAATGTAGTGGAAGATCGCAGACCCAGCCTGAATCACTGCATCCTTGATAGCACATATGTCCAGGAAGATTTCTATATGTTCATCAATGTCCCCTGCACAAAACCTGCAAAAGAAAGCACTTAAATCTTTGTTTCAGACCTTTCAATATACAAATATGTTATTATTATAAGTATTATTATTATTATTATTATTATTATTATTATTATTATTATTACCTGTCAAACAGAGTTGTTTTCCTATGGCCAGCGATAGCAGAAACCGTATCACACCCAGTGAAGGCGTGCAAAAAGACCAGGTAGCATCTCTGTTTTTCAGAGAGAGCTTCTCGAATCCTCCTGACATCATAAGAGCCCTTTAATGTAGTGAAGAAGAGTGGATGGTTGGCACTTGAGCAATGGTGCACCAACGTAACCAGCACCTCTCATCTCTGCATCTCTCTCCCTACTTCAGCATCTCTCTCGGCATTGACTGGGTCATCTCCTGTGCTTGTGAATCCTGTAGAGAAAGATACAAGCATCTCTTTGTCTTGATTGTGGTTGAATGGGTTGTTCTCCTCGAACCATTGAAGGGCAAGTTTAACAGCTTCTGCATCTCGCCTCATCTTCGTTTTTCCAAGGTCTCTGTGGCGTGGAGCATGTTGGTTTACATCTTCCTCCATATGTTGGTTGATGTTGGAGAAGTGACTGAGGGTGAGCACCCAGCATTTGTGGCCAGAATCGCTGTTTCTCATCCTCCCTCTGCTCAGTCCACCTTCGGATTTGGCTGCCTTCATCAGTGTCTGCTCAATGCAGATGTCACACCAGGTGCCAGACCAATCATGGCTGGAATAACCCACAACGTGGTTTCCATGGGCAGTAAAATGCTCTGAGGTCTCTCTGTAAACAGGCAGAGTTTCCAGGTCCTTTATGAGTTGACAGTACAGCCGTGCACCTTTGGCATACTGATGATGGCCTGCAGCTGCAAAAACTTCACAATGCATCCTGGTCACAATGCAGGACAGGTGCCCATCATGGTCTGCAAGCCGCTCGGTTCGGATGAACATCTTAATAACATCAACCATATGGTGGTACTGCACCCAGATTGCATGTGTTCTTCCTCCTTCAGCCAGTTTTTTGAAGATTTCTTCAAACCTCTGTTCAAACAGTGCTACCACTAGATCTGTGTGCCTGGCTCCCATCTTTCCATCGACTCCCTTCTCCATTAACGTCCTCATTTCAACAAGCTCCTCCTCAGTGAAGGCATGTTTCATGATGTGCTGATAGATGGCTGCATCAATGAGGAGGTGAGCACGGATTGCCTTGTCAAAACACCCTCCATCCAGGATGTGGCTGGCTGATGTCTGCAGATCTGGCAAAGGTGGTGCTGGAGAGGTTACTTTGATCCAACCCATGGAATGAAAGGGGGTGTTTCCGTGAATAGAGACAATGTTTAAATCTATAGTGTCCCCAACAAACTGAGTGAATGCATTGCTTGCTTCACCAACCCCCATAGAGACCACCTGATCATCACTTTAACAAGTTGTCGGAACTGATTTATCCTCAAGTGCGGCATCAACTGCAACCTCATCATCAATCTGATCATCAGATTCTTCCTTCAAGAGTGCCGGATGTATCTGGGATGCCATCTCCATTCCTGTCATTAAGGAAGCAGTATTTGTAGTTTTGTGTCTCCGAGTAAGACTCGGGGCTCTATTTTCGTGCCTCGCCGGAGATGTGCCGCAGGCATTCCCAAGCACAATTTGGTATTTTGGTGAGTGGCGCAGCCCAGCGTAAGTATCCCCCCTCCCTAACTCAGCTCCTCCCAGCGGCGTAAGTCATAGCGAGGGAGGAGAGAGGGCGTGGAGTGGGTTTAACACAGCCGAGACCTGTATTGACCAATAAAATCAGCTCCTCTCCTCACCTTTAAATATGCCACTGGCAAGGCGTATTACTATTTTCGTGAAGTAGTGAAAGAGATCAAGAGATGTCTGAGGACAGTAATGCCACACGATGGCGACAGAAGGCAGCTCCTCAACAAGTGTCGCTGCAGAGGGCGTCCTTCACACTCTCTCATATAAGCACAGATGGATTTGGTGTGTGTAATGTTGGACCCACTAGTAAGACAAACACCCTTTCCACAAATAAAGACACTCACATAAAGTTGCATATATTTAAACCTCACGTGACAAAGGTGGGTTGTGCACACAGAGCACAACATAAATTCCAAAAATGGCAATAAAATCGGAACCATCTGTGCATAATGACGCATCGCGCTCTGTGGCCTGGCTCTTTCTTTCATAGATGTTGGCATATAAAAATAAATTTGGCTCACAAAACTGAATATTATAATATTCGTATGTAGGCTTAAAGTAAATAACTCATCTGAGCACTGAAACAAATCATCTGTTCAGCCGCTGCAGCAGCAGCTGCAGCAGGACGGGGAGAGGACACGGAGACATGTCCTGGTCCGGCTGTGCGAGAAATAAGATGAAGAGGAAGAAAGAAAAGGAGGGAGATGAATTACATATCTTGTTAACTTCATCATGTGTGTCTATTTACTGGATATTTAATTTAATTTAATGCGGTTTTAGCTGTGTTAATTCGGTCAGGTTGAGTGTTCAAACGCGTGCCAAACGCGCTCATCAGAGCAGATATAGATCAGAATATATCAATATAGGTCTAAATGTATGTGCTGAGTCAGATTATTAGTTGTTGATGATTATTTATTGCACTGAAATGTGCCTGACACTGTGGAAACCTGCCGGTGAGGAATCTGTGACGTATGCGGATACGCTGCCGGTCTACCAAAATACCACTAGACCAGCTGCATTTCGCCTGCACTGACAGCTGACCAGGTTTGAATAGGCGAGCTTTCAGCGCTCTTTATATGCCGGTGGCGAGCACGAATATGTAACTGCGCCAGCTGATTCTGTCGACACCTCCCCCTGCCACGCCACCACACCCAGCTTGGCGGATCTCGGTGCGCCTCAGTCCACGAAAATACCAAACTGGCTGTACGCCAGGCTCCGCCAGACGAAAATACAACTGCACGGGGTCCGCCACCCTCCGCCGCCTCACCGGCGTACACGAAAATAGAGCCCTCAGTGTATCCCAGTCAGCGCAACTTGTTGATCATTCATTTTGATCCAAATCTATGATAAAGCTGTATGGCAAGCCCCATCTGGTATGGCAATACTCCTGATCAAGTTCTGCCCCCAAACAGCTACTTTTTCATCAGTCTTCACTATTGGTCTCAAGAACATCTGGAGGCTCTGGAGTTTCAGCTGACTTGGATATCCCCCATACTGTGTCGTAGGGTATGACTTTGGGTCTACATCAATTATGGAAATGTCATTGCATATCAACTTCAGTGCTGTCTTAATGATCTGGGTCTTCTCGTCTCCTTGCTGAGGATTAGCATGATGCTCCCGCAGAATGTTGCTGGTGATATCTTTGAGGCAGAGCACATCTGCCCTTCTCCCCTGTGATGTGAAATACAGTGTGTCATGATATTTCTCTTGGAGTTTCATCTTTAGCCATTTCTTTGAATAAAAGAGGCTCTTATCTCGCGACTGGTCAAACACCAGCATTTTTTTGTGAACTTGGTCAAGCGTCATCACACCATGCTCGAGTTCTGTCTCTAGCCATTCGCAGAATTCAATAAAAAAAGCCTCTCATTCATCATCAGCCTTCCTCCCTCCTCTCTTCCTTTGTCCTTTATCTTCAGCCTTGGAGTAATGGTCACCCCTCTCAAATAGAAGTTTGCACCGCAAGTGATACAAGATTTCTTCCTCTACCAAGTCACTGATTCCTTCCAGACTTTCAAAGACTTCTGTGCCCCAGTTATTCCCACGATTCTGTGCTGTCTTCAGCAAGCTTGCCTTCAGCCTATCTGCAGTCAAATTATCAGGCACTCTATATCTCTTTCTAGCCTCTGCTGGATTATGTTTGTAGAGATGTACGGGTTGATTGCAAAGAATGCATACATTCTTGAACAGAAGCTGAACCGACTGTGTTCTTGTAGAACTGTGCAGAGTTGATGCACTGAACTCAGTGCACATGCATCTTCGCTGCAGCTTTGCTGACTCTTTCTCTGCCTTTAATGCTTGAGCTGACCTCTTGGTGACCTTGACAAACTTGTACAAATCATTTTGACACTTTTTGTGTTATTTAACACAATTAAATAAAAAGCTGTTTTTTAATTTAAGTGTACCCTGCAGGGTATGTGTTAGTGGGGGTTATTGGGGGGGTGAACGAAGTTTTTTCACTAGGGAGTGGTGTTGCTGAAAAATAATTGTTTGCTATCAGCTCAGAATCATGAAAAATCCCTAATTTTACCCTTCGAAAGTTACCCAAGTCCAATTTAAACACTTTCAAATTTTCAAAAATCGGTTATTGGTACCCTGAATTAGGTGGTTTTGGGCCGATGCTGTGATTGCCACTACAGTGTCCTGTCTGTTTTAATGCAGTGCTGCCTGGAGACCTGAAGATCAGAACCATCCTGTCTTGGTTTTAGGCTTTAACAGTTTTGTACAGAGATTTCTCCAGATTCTCCGTATCTTTTCATAATATTATGTCCTGTAGATGATGAAATCCACTCATTCTTTCACATTTGACACTCAATAACATTATTCTGACATAATTGAACTATTTGCTTACACAGTCTCTCACAGACTAGTGAACCTCTCCCCATCTCTCCCTCTGAAAGACTCAGTCTTTTTTTAAATGTTACCAACCTGTTGGAAAAAAACCTCATTAGTTGGGAGATGCCGCCACTAGGCATTTGCTCATCATTAAACAACTTCTTTTGTGGTTTCTTGTCCCTTAAAATCATGTTAAAGGTTAAACATTTTAAATAGGCATCAATTTTCAGTTAAAAAATAAATTCAGTTTCAACATGTTTTTATGTGCAGTTTCCAATTCAGCATAAGGCGTCAAGGATTTGCACACCAAGTACCTCTGTTTTACACAGCCCCAAAAGTTTTTTTAATTGTTCCTGTAAAAGACCAGCATTCAAATGATTTTACCGACTGATTTTCGGTTCAGTTTCTGCATCACAGACTGTTTTAGGATTTACTCCTGCAAATATCTGATGCTTTCCCCAAGAATGCACACAGACATAACTTTGTGTGTGTGTGTGTGTGTGTGTGTGTGTGTGTGTGTGTGTGTGTGTGTGTGTAAGAATGTGTGTGCATGTGTGTTGTTGCATGCTGAAGCATTACATTGGCCACCTGTTGCTATCCATACTCTATGCGCACACTCCTCTCATTCTTGTCTTCCTCAAGCAAACACTGAAAGAAAAGACCTCTCTCTCTCTTCCTCTCTCTCTCTCTCTCTCTCTCTCTCTCTCACACACACACACACACACACACACACACACACACACACACACACACACTCAGTATTTAAGGCATGTCAGTTCCTGTCTTTTGCGAAGGTTGTGTTTGTTGCTGTAATCTCTGGAAAATGATCCTGCTTGTTATTTCCCACCGCCTGCCAGTCGAGTGAGTGGGCAGAACAACCTGAAGGTCTGTCGCTACAGCAACAGGCTGAACAGACTAAAGCCACGAGCAGGAGGAAGAAGAAAAGACCTACTGCAGAGGAAAACAACCAAACATGAGGGGATCTGGCTGGAGAGGGTAAGAGGAGATGTAAAGAGATCAAACCGGCAGAAGAAAAAGAAGAAGGAGAAGGGGGAGGAAAAGAAACCTAGGAAGTGGCAGGTAGGAACAGGAAGCTGGAAGAGATCACATGATTTAAACTCCTTGCTGTGGCACATGCAGCTGCATCAGTGTGGGTTTCTGAGGATTTCTGGGATTCTTTCCATTTGAATGATGTGTTTGGCTGAGTGGAGGCTGAGAAAAACTGCTAACTTAGTTCCATGAGAGGTCAAAGCTCATAGACTGTCCACTTAAAGCAGACAACAAAGCTGTTTCTGTTTGTGTGTAAGATAAGAAGAACTTCATTGATGCCTGAAGGGAAATTCAATTTACTCTTAAAAGTCCCACTCCAATGAAAATCATGTTTTTCTTGTTGATTACATGTTTTTTTCCGATGCTACAGGACACATCAGACAGAAAACTAAGTGCGAAATTGCATTTCTGAGTATTTCTGCATTCAAATCGCTGTGAATCACAATTCAGAGGTGATGCTAATGAGCTACAGGAGCTCTGCAGAAGAAAAGCCCTTGCCCTTGAAAATGACACAGGTAATGCTATTTTGGCTAAAAACTTCATAATCACAATTTAAAGACCAGTAAAAATAAAACAATGGGAGTGTGACTTTTAAGGTCCAAAAAACTGAAGCTGTTTTCACCTAGTGAGGGCTAAGTGGGAGCTTTTAGCATACATTTTTGTTTAAAAAAAAAAAGAGAAACCATGTGTTTGATAATTTCAATGTTAAAATTTGGAACAAAAACCAACTGACTTTGCAGTAGTGAGTTAAAGTATGTCTCTATAAAGAGGAGTGAACAGGGTACCAGCAGATATTGTCTTAAGACACGCTATGAAAAGAGCCTGTGTAAACTTTCCTCTTCATGAAATGAACATTACCAACATCAAGATGGGATCAGGCTGAACCCCATCCTGTAAGATCAGACCCATTCCCATCTCATCTTCAACCCTTCAACCACATAAGCGAAACACTTTTACAGAGTTACAGTGGAGAGACAGAACTTCCTTTCACAGGGGTATTAGCATCTCTGCAGAATGTTTTCTGTTTCCAGACTTACGCTCTTGACTGACACCTGATCATATGCTTTTTTTTTTTTTTTTTTTTTTTGTTCAATAAGAACAAGTATGCAGAAAACAGGATGCTGTGGGTCTTACAGATTTTTCTGTTAAGTTCTGTTGTTGCAGTGTTTATGTTTAGGTTATATACAATTTGTGCATTGGTAGCCTGATGTCACCAACCCATCAGCCAGCCTACACTGCTACGATGTTTAAAAATTAACCAATGACATCAGATATCCCAGAGCAATCATAGCTGATAAATAGGGGAGACTGAATAAGATATTGATCCTGGAGCGCCACTCCAGCCTTTTCCTGAGCAACCAAGATGGCAGCTTTGAACACAGAGAATCTCTTTTTTAATGCATACTGCTACCTGTTTACATTTTCTAATGCTTTATTCTACATCACACACTGTAATGTCTAGCAGTTGGCCTGTCCAGTTGCTGCAGAGGAATCATTGATTTTGACCCTGCAAACAAGAAATGAACCACAGACCCCTTTAACAAGATGAATTGGTCCAGATATGTGCTGAGTTAAATTTCCTTTTTTCCCAGCATCATTGTCCACCCCAACTCACTTGAGGCCTGGAGATCAACAGAGAATGCTGGACACAACTCAGCTTGCTTTGGTTCCTTTTGTTGGTTTTGATGCGGGAGCAGTAGCAGTAAGGAATAAATCAAAGTATCAGGCTGTCATTAAATAGGTACAGAATCAATTGCCTCATTAATTTTAAAGATAAAAGATAAATCCTAAAAAGTGTAAGACCTTAAACCACCAATGCCACTATAGTAATATTCAACACTACATTTTAAATGCACAGGCTTAAATGATCAATAAATACAATCAGTTTAATCTCTCAGTCACTAATCAGTTATTTTATTTGTCAAGGTGATTCAATGGAAGTTTCCTCACCAATCGTGTCTCTGAGGTCTCCACGCAGTGATGCCACCAAACACTCTGTCTGTGTGACAAAAGGGCAACACACCTGTTTCTGAGCCTACTTTTTGCCTCATCCCTACCATTCCCATCTCCACCTGCCTTTAGGTGCCTGACCTAATGTCATCCTCTAGTGGCAAAGACATAAAATACTGCTTCATACATTTAAACAATTACATGATTGCTCTTCAGATTGCTTTAACAATATGCAAGGCTGGTGCATTGAGCCTGCATTTTGCAACACTTACATTTCTGTTGCTTGAATACATTTTTATGCTCTTTTGTAGTGTCAGTTGTCAACTACATTCAGTTGTCAAAGAAAGCCAAAGTTTCGTTGTTCTTATAGGATTGGTTAGTGTAAGCATATCTATAAGTATGGCTGCAAACATGAAGATTTTTTTACTGTCTCCTAGTCTGTGAAAAATTAGTTTATTATACAGTCTGCTGATCTGTGGGGTAAATATTTGTGACATCAGCTGCTGTTACTTTATCTGTCGTCTTTTAGTTTCAGGACAATCACATTTCTTCTGATGAGCATGGTATTCCTTGTGAATCTTGGGTGTAGTGTTGCCTCCAGTCACATCATCCTTCATGTACAGTTGAAAAGTGAACTCTGTGAAAGTCGCAGAAACTTTTTGGGCTTCGACCCTGAGGAAGAACTGTACTCTCTGACTTGTCTGTAAATGCAACTCTTTTTCTTAAAGTTCCAGCATATCCTGCAAAAACATGCAGCTCATGAGTTCATGCCTTTGTTTTGTGTCACTGAGACAAAATGCAGACAAAAAGGGTGTTGGTTAGTGAGTCCTTGACCCCCTCTGTACAAACTGACTCATTGATTGATGTCTGACATAAGTTTTAGTGAGGGCAACAGCTATACTTCTCTGCACAAAGAAGGACACTCTCTGTTTCAAAACCTTTATGTGAACACCTTTTATTTCTAGTACAAAAATAACAGCTGTGTAGCTGTTAACTTTAACTTATCAATTACATATCAGCAATTTCAATTCTTATTTGCTGGTATTCGGGTCAAAACATGAAGAAAATGGTGAAAATCAAGCACAGTTTGTAAACTTCTGGCAGTAGCACATGTCTGTAGTAGTTACAGATCACTCTGGTCAAGTGGTTGTCTGTTTCCCATCCACAGCCAATCAAAATCTTGTTTCGATTTTGTCAATCAAAATATTGACAAACTAACTATGCAACAAGATGCCATCACCTGTGCTTGTTTACATCCAGGTAGTAAAGCATAAATGCATTGTGGTGGTAGACACTAAACTGAAGCTACAGCCCCAGCTATAGCAGCAGGTGTCTGCTTAGGAGCAGCTTAGACAAAACATACAGTATATCTACTTAAAGACAACACCCACCAATGACAAACTCTAAACCATCAGCTTTACTTAGCACAAGCATGTGCAATGAGAAAGAAAAGATGAAGGGATGAAAAAAAGTGAGACATACTAAGGGAGAAAATGGTATGGGGGGAAGAAGAAGACAAGAAGAAGAAGAAGAAGAAGAAGAAGAAGAAGAAGAAGAGCAGCTGCTTGGCTCTGACTCTGAATGAGTCAGTTAGAACAGCTGAGAGCCCTGAGAAGAAGTGAATAAAGTCTGGGAAATACAGCGTCTGCCTGTACACACACACACACACACGAATACACACACACACACACATCTCTGCTGGCCAACAGCCAAAACCACAGCACCGAGGGTCTACTACAGTCACAGATGAACACAGATGAATCTGCAGTAACTCTGCTGACAAAGGCAAACTGTTCTCTAACTCCTGTGGTCATTTGTGCTGCAGAACAAAAAAGAAAACAAGAAAAAGGATAAACTAAGAACATTTAGGCAACACTACCGTTGAAAGCCCAGCCTTTGAACAAGAAATAGTGCCCGTATGTGGTTCAGTTCCTATTTTATACCCTGATCCAGAATAGTCTGTCTGAGCAGGGCATGACAGCTGTGGGAATAAACCAGTTTCATTAGTTTAAAAGAGACTAACTAACTGACTGTTGTAGTTTCATGTAGGAATGCAGCAGTAAAAAAAGGAAGAATACATCAGACTCAGGATTATGAACTCCAACTGGACTCTTTACTGTATATTGTCTTCTTTATACAACAGCAGTGCTCAGAACAATACAAGCTCACAGTTACCCCTAGCGCTGTGGAGCATCAACTGAACTTGAATACAAAACAAGCAGTAGATTAGTGCCAACATCTCCATATTGCATATTAATAACAACAGTTTTTTTCTGTAAACACATTCATATCAATAACCAAACAACAGTGTTTCTAACTCTTCTTAAGTGCCTGTTCCTTCTCTGCAACTCAGTAATGCAAGTTAAATTTTAGTTAACTTATTTTCCACTCATATGTATACAGGTCTCTAAGCAATAATAAACCAAGGTAGCTTCAACTTATAATTCACTGTGTCAACAATTTTCACACAATATTCATAATCGTTCAGCCAAGCAGGCTTTTTTCTGACCCTGGTGGGTCTGCGTGTATCATCCAGTGGTTTTGTGGGCTCTCGCACAGAGGCTGGATCAGCAGGTTTGCCTGTAATGATGTCCTCTGCACTCTCTGGGACCAGAGAAAGGTGAGACGCGTTTCATGTACGTCCATCCTCCAGTACAAAGGAACCTGCACCAGCTCTTTCCATCACCCTGGCAGGTGCATAGAACTTTGACAGTCCTTTTTTAACGTGGAAAGGTTTTCTTACTCTGACCAGGCTTCCCTCTTTGATCTTTGGCACTTGTGCACCTCTTTTAGCATCTGTATAGGCTTTTGATGATTTCTGCAAGCAGGTGACACAATCACGGAGCTGCTCTTCAAGCAGTGGTGTGAATTTGCTTGCTGGACCAATGTCCTCTTTTGTTCGGATCTTCCTGTTGAACATGAGCTCATGGGGTGACTCACCTGTGTTGTTGTGTGGGGTTGCACGGTATGTGAGCAGGAACTCCTGTATGAAGGGTTTCCATGGTTTCCCCTCTTGCTCAGCTGTGAGGAGTGTTTCTTTAAGAACACGGTTCCAGAGCTTTTTGGCTCCATTTGCTTGAGGATAGTACAGAGACACTTTTCTGTCTTTAATGTCTCTCACTGCAAGGAACTCTACAAACTTACTTGAGGTGAATTGTGTCCCATTGTCACTGTTGAGCTCTGTAGGGTTGCCAAACCTGGAGAACACTGTAGACAGGAAAGTGGTGATTGCCATGGTTGTGATAGAATGAGTGAAGGCGACCTCTGGCCACTTGGTGTAGTAGTCGATCAGTGTCACTGCATATTGGCAGTCCCAGGTTGCAGACTCAAATGGCCCCACGATGTCGACTCCCACTTTCTGCCATGGGCCATCAGGCAGTGGAACCGGCTGAAGTGGTGTAGCCTGTGTCTTGGCACTTTTATCATTCATCTGGCACATCACGCATGTTTTGATGCTGTCCTGCACACACATGTCCATACTTGGCCACCAGTATAAGTCCGCAGCCTCTGCTTAGTGTGGACGACCCCCTGTTGGGTTTCATGTGACAGGTTAATCAGCTGTTTTCTTAGGGCCACGGGGAACCAGTCGTCGCTGAGTGAGGACTCCTGTAAACTACCACATCTTGGACTGAGAGTTCATCTCTGATAGCGAAGTAAGGCTGCAGCACTGCAGGTAGGGACTTGGTTGTTTTCAGCCATCCTTTTTACATCTGTGCCCTCAGAGCTGTGAGTTCTGGACAGCCTCACATGCCACAGTGAAGTCCTTCACTGAGAGGGCTTTCAGTTCCACATCCAGCAAAGCGACAAGCTCAGGCTCCACCACTGGCTCTGCATTCTCTGCTGATGGGAGAGGTAATCTGGAGGGACGGTCAGCAGCAAAATTTTGTGCACCAGCACGATACACCACATCATATGTGAAACATAGCAACCTGGCTGACCACCTTGCAATGCACATTCCAGCATGTCCAAGTCCTTTTGTAGCTACTAGTGTGGTCAGGGCCTGGTGATCTATCTGCAGCGTGAATCTTGTTCCCCACAGGAAAGTCCTCCATTTCTCTGTGGCCCACACACAGGCCAGAGCCTCCCAGAGCTGTATTTCCGTTCTGCCGGTATGAGTGAACGTGAAGCAAATGCGACTGTATGCTCTGTGTTGTCCGGATGCACTTGTGTCAATATGGCTCCCAGACCATAATCCGAAGCATCAGTGGAAACTATGGTTGGAAGACTGGGGTCAAAAACTGCCAGCGCCGGACTGTTGACGATGCAAGACTTTACTCTATCAAAACTCTCTCGTGCAGCTGCAGTCCACTTAAAGGTGCCATCACGCAGGCAGTCTCTCATGGGCTCCACCAGAGATGCATACTTTTGCACAAACTTTGCGTACCATGCTGTGAGACCCAGGAATGAACGGAGTGTAGTGGCGTCGCTCAGAGCTGGAGCTTCTGTGATGGCCTTGAGGTGATCCTCATTTTGCTGCAAACCTTGGGCTGAAACGACATGTCAAAGGAACTGCAGGCTTTTCTGGTTCAAGTGACGTTTTCCAGTGTTGAGCTGGAGGCCAGCTTCTTTGAGTGCAGCTAGCACTGCCTGGAGGTTGCGGTCATGTTCCTGCTGGTCCCTGCCGTAGACTATGATGTCATCCAGGTAATTCTGGACCCCCTTGAGATCTTTCAGGACCAGGGACTTCAGCTTTGAGAAAGCACTTGGGGCTGAACACAGTCCATATGGTACTCTATGGAACCTGAACAGTCCTTGCGTTACTGTTCAGGTTCGTTGCGTTATGAATGCAGTTATGTAACAGCTTTCCTCTGCCAGTGCATCTGATGATGCATTCGCCAAGTCCATGGTAGAGAAAACAGTGGCTCTGCGCATTTCAATGAAGATATTATCCATATGAGGAAGTGGGTGACTGTCCATTACAACTGCCTTGTTTGGCTCACAATAGTCCACACACATCCTCACGTGACCATTTTTTCTCTGTGTAACTACTATAGGTGAAACCCATGGGGGAAGCATCCATCCTCTCGATTACATTCATTTCCAGGAGCCTCTCAATTTCAGCTGAAACAGCTTTTCTGACAGAGACTGGGAGCCTTCGCAGTTTTTGTTGGACAGGCTGGATACCCTCTCTGATTTTGACTCTGTGGATGAGCCTTTTGCAAGACCCAGCTTCTCCTCAGTCACTGACTGGACTGACTCTGCTCCTGGAACTGCAGGTGAGTTGGCAGATGGGGAGGTTGCAAGGGAGAGCACAGTATTTTGTTGAATGGAAAGTTTCAGTGCTCTGAATAAATCCAATCCCGTCAAAGCTGTGCCTGTCCTCACAACATAGAGTGTAGCTGGAACTGTAGCATCTTCATGCTGCACTGTAGCTGATATGCAGCCTAGCACTGGCACCTTGGACTTTGTGTATGTGACTAGTTTTGAAGGTGGCTCAGACAGTGGTACATCATTAAGGTGCTCTCTGTACAGGTGCTCAGGAAAAATGGATACAGCAGAGCCTGTATCCACCACTAGCTCAGCAGGGCAAGAAGATGTATTTGCGTTTATCATCACTGTGCATAAAATCTTGTGGTCTAACTGACAATCCTGCAGCATCAGCACTGTGACAACTTCTCCAACTTTAGTAGTAGGCTTGGACTTAGACTTACATACACGGGCGAAGTGTCTAGAGCATGACACAGGAGCGGATTTTCACTCCTGTCCCGTCCCACTCCCAGAGAAAAAATCCTGTCCCGTCCCAATCCCGGACTGGATTAAAAAAATTAATCCCATCCTGTCCCACTCCCGTAGAATGACTCCCAAACCGCTGCCACTCAAAATAACTCCCACTCCTGTCCCGCTCCAGTTTGAATAAAACCAAACATGTTGAAAAAACGTCATTGTAGGTAAAAGTGCAGTGCATATAAAAGGCATTGCCTTTAAGTTTCACATGCCTGACATTTGGTCGGTGTAAACTAAGTGCATATATATACAATGGCGTTTCTAGCCAAAATACTCCCCAGGCGAGGGGACTAAAAATTAAACCTGACCTGTCTTGCCTTCCTTGATGCAAAATCATCAATAATCTCGTCAAAAGAAATCTGCTCCCCTATTAACCCATTAAGACCTGAACCCTGTCTGAGACATGCCTCTGAAATCCTGAGGGCCATTTTAAGAAGGGCCCCCAGATCCTGAGGTTTTCTTAACTGTTGAGGTTTACAAAAAAGCTGATATCTCAGCCTCTGTCACAGATGGAAACAGAATTCAAAAAGCATTTGAGAACTTACAGGTGTGGCTTTTTAAGAAAGCTATTTATTATTTTTCAGAACCTTCATCACATTATTGAAAACCTTGAACAAACAAACTTAAATGAAATAAAGCGGCTGAATAAATAAAAGTAAAGAATCTGCACTGGAGAATAACGAACTATTTGCTTTCTGTAAAACAAGTGGCAGTCATGATAAAGTGTCCATTCAACACAAATGTAAATATAAAAAATAAAGTGTTGAAAGGGTATGCAGCTGCCCTAGTATAATGCTAGTACAAGACCAGCACTTAAAACTAGAAAAATTAATAAATAAATAAGTGTCTGACAGTGTGTTTATGTCTGTGCTCACCCAAAGTCATGCAACAGGTTGTTCACACTGCTGGATGTTTCTCCTCCAAAGCTGCTCTCTGCCTCCGTTGTTGATTACTTGATCATCTATTAATGTTGTTCCCACTCCTGTTGCTTTTTTTCCCGTCCCGGCCCGATCACGGGATTAATTAAAAAATGACTCCCATCCCATGGGATTCCCGCAGGAATCACGTGACCCACAGGAATTCCCAAAAAATGTCATCCTCTAGAAGTATCCTGTCTTGTTCCAGTTTTGCCAGGTCACTTTCGTGTGGGACAATGCGGAGCATCAGCCAGGTGCGTTGATGAGCTGCTCCTAAAACAGCACCGGTCCTGTTTTGATGCTGCTGTAGCCTCAGTGTGGTTGTAGCTCTGTTTTGTGCTTGAACTGGCGTTTTGTTTTCGCCTTCACGACCTGCACAGGAGCTTGAGGCTCCACTGCAAGCGTCTGTACGTGCCCAATCACCGCCTCCACCTGACATGCCATTTTGACTGCTACGTCCACTGCGAGGTTTCCCTCCGTCTGCACCAGTAGCTTCTTACATATCCGAGGGCAACTCGCATGTTCAATAAATTGGTCTCATATCATCTCATCGCTATTTCTACCAAACTTACATGTTGCTGCCAGCTCTCGCAGGGCTCCGACGTACTCAGCAACTGTCTCATGTGGTCTCTGTACTCGTCTGAATTTATGTCTTTCCACAACAACGTTTATCACTGGCCCGAAGTGCGCATACAACGCATTCACTGCCGCCTCATATGTTGTACCCCATGTCGTGAGCGTGTAGAAGATACGCTGTCCTTCTGCGCCCAAACAGCGCAAAAGCAGAGCAAGTTTCCTTTTATCGGGCCAGTTGTCCCCCTCCGCGTGTATAGCCAGCAGGAAGTTTGCGAACATTTTCATGCACATGTCGAACGGGACTGTAGGCAAAAACACTGTGGGAAAAGGCACAACATTCGCCATCCTCGTCCAACTCCAACTTGACTCTTTACTGTATATTGTCTTCTTTATACAACAGAAGTGCTCAGAACAGTACAAGCTCACAGAGACCCCTAGCGCTGTGGAGCATCAACTGAATTCACAACACTAACTAGCTAACTAACTAACTAACTAACTAACTAACTGTAGTGATTCACTTTAGACATCAAACCATTTAGAAAGGGTTTCTCTTTCTGTGCATAGTCCATAACAAGACCTCAGCATTAATCTCAGACAGCAGAAAACCTTTCCTGGGAGCTTTAAAAAGTGAGTTTTCATTAAATTGTGAAGTATATTGCAGTAGCCAACAAACTTAACAATGTGCACCCACCTGATCAAGCTTTGATGGAGATCTGCTGCTAGTTCTGAATCAATGCAGTCATTTTGCACTACAGTATAGTATATAGTATATGCTATAGTCTTAAACAAATGCAATGATAGAAAGTCAAACAACAGGTCACAGAAAGACAACCTCATTTACAGAAAACACACTGAGCATACATCAACAGTTCAAATCTAATAATATAAAAATGCTCTAGGTTGGTGGGGGCTCCTCTCCTTGTTTAATTTTTTGCCCCCAAGTGATCAGCCATGAACCAGCCATGAAGTCTGAAGTTTTATACTCTTCAAATCAACTCAGAGTAGTATTCATTTTGACAGATTTGTCGTCAAGTCTTTGGATGTAAAAACCTTTAAATTGAAGTCACATGTTAGCCTCTTTTAGCCCTTTTCAGATGGGTTTGAGTCTTCACACAAAGAAGAGAAATAGAGAGGATTGTTTGAGGAAATGAGCTCTCTTTGGCCACCAGAGTTGTCTTTATTTTGCTAGACCTCAAATGAGAGTGCAGTTATCAACTGTGAAACATTGTACCCTCCAACATGTTCCCAAAACAACAATAACAAGACTTTGACAAAGAGCTATTAACAAACAGTTGTAAACACAACAAAAATAAACAATTGAACTGACTAACCCAAGCAGCAGATGGTGGACAAATGTGTGTAGCTAACCACATAGATTAATTGTGATTGGATCATTACCAAGCACATCCTGCCTTTCAACATATCTATTATGGTTTTGATTGGGTTTTGTCTCTGCTGAACATTTTCGTCTCATTCTTATATATTGAACAAAGTGCCAGTACATTAGAAGTTAGCCAAGAAGACTTTTTTTTTTTTATTTCAGCTTGCAAATGTTGAACTCACAGTCATCTCACAGTAAGGACTAACTTCACACCCCAACCAGCCTGAGGAGAAATTGAGGCATTCACACCAACCTGTGAAAATAAACACAAGCAGACTTCCTGTCTGTTAGCAGATGATCAGAAATGTCCAACATCAGAGGGCGACAGGTCAGATTTACTGTCAGCTGATCAGGTTTCACGTGTGTGGGCGTGTGTGTGTGTGTTTGATCCTTAAAAGCTCCGATGCAAAGTGAGTTCACTGAGAGACAAAGATTTGAGCTGAGATCTGCAAGATGGTCTCAGATAATGTGAATATACAATTTTAGTTTTTTAACATAATCAATATTTAAGCTCCATCTGAATGAATCTATAAATATGTCTGTCTGCTGCTTGATGTATAGACAGAAGGTGAAAGTGACTCTCCTTTTATCTCAAAGTATGACGCATGAATAGAACTAAAGATTTACACCGGGTTGATTGTACTGCTAGAAAGGTCTGTGGGACTGCAGGCTTTTATTTTGAAAGGGATGTGTAAGGGAGGTGCTGTGATAAACTAAACCAGTAAAAGGGTCAAAATGGGCTGAAAGTCATTCTATACATCTATACTGCAGTTAGCTGACAGACATCACATCTTCAGACTGATGGTATCTAAATAAACACTATAAACATGTTCATATCAACGTCTTTATTATGTGAAGATCCTATCATTTTTACACCAAATCTTTACATTACCATATTCATCAAATCATTCATTCAAATTAGCTCTAAAACTGAAGGAAACCCGGACTTTAGTTTGAGTTCAGAATGTGCCGTGGACACATGCAGGCTGTGGGCTAACAGCTGATCCTTGGTCCGCTTAGATGTGTGTCCCTGTCATTTGGTTCAGACCTTTGATTGGCTGCAGACATCTCCTTGTCATCTTCCAGGAGCCTCTGTGTGTTTATCCCCAGCTGACAAACTGTCTCCAGGTCAGAGAACCTCACGTCTCTTTCTTCTGTTTCAGCTCGTCCCTGCCAACATGTCCTCAGCCAGAGCTGCAGCCGTCCTGCTGCTGAGCTGCTTCCTCCTCCTTGTCCTCAACACTCCGCCTTCCACTGGTGAAGGTAAGGTTATCTTGTCCCATCTGACAAAACAGCAAACTACAAACTGGTGGTGATTTTTATTTAAAACCAGTAATATAACCAGCTGCTTGTGGTCAATACTGATAAGATTACTGATATTTATTGACACTTTTTTTTAAACATGCAGCTTGTGTACAGCTGAGGGTGAGAGCAGTTCAGATTTAAATATGAAATCATATCATGTCAAAGTCTTCATTCAGACAGTGGGCTGTCAAACTGACTATGAACACCCGATTAAGGTCAGAACTGTCCACATGTTCATGGTTCATGAGTGCCAGTAAGGTTGTTGAGTTTTAAGATCACATCCTACAGAGCAGGCAGAGATACAGAGGAGCTGCAGCTCAGGACACTGATCCAAATACATCATTAGCTGCTAAAATCTTGGGTCTCTTTACACAGATTTCTCTGTCATTGCTTTAACTTTTGGGCTGTCTCTGTTGAATCAGACAGTATAAAGAGCACTCACTGTTTTACTGATGCTTAAAAGATTGTTAACCCTAACCTTTTTCCTCTTCTCTGAACACTTACAACATGTTATGCAAGTTACAACCATGCTATACCTAAGAACAATGATAAAGATGACCCGGGGCCAGGGGTGACAGTCCAGAGTCAGCAGGATAACCCCGGTATAGGGTGAACTTGGTATGACACCGGGATGATGGCTAAATATTTTTCTTACCCTGCAGGCCCCTGATCTCAAAGCTCAGAGCTGGTTGTCAAAATGTAGGAGGGATCCTATTCTGTCTTCTGTCGGCTTCAGATGACAAATCCCTCCCCCTTCTCCCCCTCTCAAGAGAGGAGCCGCCAGCAGAACAGGCTATAAAATAATCACATTTCTATGATTTACTATCGACATGCTTTGTCAGAGGATGGTTCTAAATTTTACTGGGGATCAAAAGTCACTGCTGTGTGTGTAGAAGCTTGAAGTAACATGAACCTGATAAAGAAGTCACAGTGTGAGGAGTCTGATAGACTTCATATGATATCCATATATTACTGAACCAATTATTCTGTTGCAGCAGGCAGCCATTTATCAAAATTTGTATGATATAAAAATGAATCCACTTCTCCACCAAACAGGTAATTGATGTTTGTGTAAAAGACAGTTATTGAATTAACACAGCTGAAACTGCATTAAACTGAATATCCAGTAAATAGTCACACATGATGAAGTTAACAAGATATTTAATTTGTCCCCCTTTCTCTGTTCCTCCTTTTTCACGCGCAGCTTGACCCGGACATGTCTCTGTGTCCTCTTCCTGTCCTGATGCTGCTGCGGCAAGGCTGAACAGATGATTTATTTCAGTGATCAGATGAGTTATTTACTTCAAATATTTGAACAAAAATAAAAGAAACTTCCATTTAAAATTACCCATTTATCTGATGTTCTCACATCCTTAAAATTCTGTGAATATTCAATCTGGAGCTAGGCCCACATACGAATATTATTGCCAAGTTCATTTTTTTATGCCAACATCAATGAAAGAAAGAGCCAGGCCACGGAGCGCGATGTGACTCTTGCGCACAGGTTGTTCCAATTTAATGCCATTATTGGCATGTGTTGAAGTTGTGATCTGTGCGCACAACCCACCTTTGTCATGTGGGGCTTAAATATAAGCAACTTGATGTGATTATCTTTATTTGTCGAAAAGGGTGTTTGTCTTACCAGTGGGTCCAACCTTACACACACTAAATCCCTCTGTGCTTATTTGAGAGAGTGTGACGTCTAGTCTAAATTTGGTATAACAGAGGTTTAGATATGAAAGTTTTACAACGTCAAAGTTTACACGTTTTTTTCAACGTCGAAATTTATACGCTTTTTCAATGTCGAAATTTATACGTTGTTTAAATGTTTTGATTTCTATGTTGTTTAAATGTGTTTGTTCATACATTGTTCCATCTATAACGTTGAAATGACGTCCAATAGACGTTTTCATTTAAATGTCTTTATGTTAGACGTTCATGCTTCTACCAAATATAAACCCAGGTATAGACATAGACGTTAATTAAACGTTTATTAGACATCTGGTCTAAATCCGCCAACCCGGCGAGCCTCCCCGCGCGGACCGTCCCAGCAGCGGTAGCCGCTGGATTCCGCGGGTCCCCGGTCAGCCTACGGCACTGACCGAACATGTCTATTAAACTTTCATTTCTATACCACTGTTAAACCATTTTTAGACTACAGGTCCAACGGACGTCTAAAGTCACAATCATTTCTTGTAAATATTTTAATAAGTTTACTAAATATCAACAATGCATATTACCATAAGCATCTGATATATGTAAATTGATGAAAGTATTCACAGGAAACACCATCTGTTGAGCCAGATTCTCTACACCAAAAGTTACCTGCTGCTTACCTTGATACACGTACTCCCAGGATGTTCTATTTCGGCAATGTTGCTTCTCTTTCTGGACCTTTCAGAATATTTAGCTTCTACAGTCATGCTCATTCATAATTTAACACTGATCTACATTTGGCAACCATCAGTCCACTGTAATTGAAATCACAGTACATTTTTCACTCAGAATATAACCATTACAGTCATGGAGTGGGAAAAACAATTTTTTAATCTCACATCCAGTAAAACGAACATTTAAAAAAGAAAAAAATCTATACATCTATATACAAACATAGCCACAAAGTATAAAGAACAAGAACAACAACATAAAGAAAAATTTAACTAATACTAATACCACAGTACATAAACAGAGAACACAAAAGTACTGAAATGAACTATAAATATTAACAATTTTAAGATATATATATTTTTTTAAATTAGCAGGGTGGTGTTCTGGTGGTGCCCCTCCCACCACGTCGAGCTGGTGCCTGTTTCAAATGGTCCCCAATCGATGCTGCGACCAGTTCCTCTGTTGCTGTCGGGAAGTTAGTGTGAACAGACTCTGCAAAAAGAAAAAAAACTAAAGAAACTTGAATCATAGTAAGTGTAGAAATTATCTAGTATTGTCCAGAAGGATTCTTCACTTTTTTACAGCTTCAGGCTTTAAATGAGTCAGTAACATGACCAAGAATAAGTAATAACTTGCAGAGATATAATTCATTTACCAAGAACAACTGTGAAGAAAGCAGTTTTCTTTAAGCTTTTTTTCCCCTGGCGTCCTCCACCCAGGAGGTTGTACTTCCTCTGCACGTCATTGTGTAAAATTCTGAAATGGATATCAAGACAAATAAATCTCTTAAGGTGCATTCACACCGGACAGGCGACGCAACTTGTCACGTCTCGAGGGGCCGTTGCGTTGCATGTCCTTAAACGTGTCACTTTGCCACCGTCATAGACTGTATATACTATGGACAACCTGGTTCCGCCTTCCGCCTGTATACGGATTTGAAGCCAAAAAGCTCTCGGTAATTCCTGGTTTTTCTCCACTTTCTTGAAACCAGAGCTGCGCAGTAGCGATGCGCACATTCGGCCGCGCAGTCGCTGAGAGTCCCTGTGATGACGCTCGGCTCAAACAGCATATCCCCCCGGGTGAGCTACGCAATCCCTGAACGCCCATAGGCTGTACCAGGTGTCAATCATAGAAAACATGAACCCCCTAATAACTTTTAAAAATGGAGCTGTACAGAAAAAAAAGGACTAGGGCACAAACCAGTCTTGCAGTAACTATATGTCAACATCACAAGCAGGAGGAAGAAAAATTTATGTTCTGTGTAATAAATTTCTAAAGTTTGTCCACAGTCCCATAAGCTTTGCTGGCGGAGGAGGGATTTATGACCTGTACTGCAGCCCACCATCAGAGGGTGCTGTTCTCGGAGTGGCTTCACCCAGCGAGGAGGCAGACTCGGTCCATTCTTTATACAGTCTATGGCCACCGTCATTTGCGATGCGCATTACGTTACACCCACTCTAGGTTTTCCCTTCGATCTTGTCGGATACCGTGTCCAGCGCTGCTCTTTACTTGCTAAACAAGTCCCTAAAACATCAGAGAAACCCTTGCCAACGTTGCACAAGTGCCTGTGTGAACGCACCTTAATACTGCTTACTCTTGCAATTCACTAGAAAGACTTGATAAACACCAACATTACATGATTATATTAATAACATTGACCATTATATTGTCTTGCATTCATTTTCAAGTATTCATATTCCGTCCAGGATCCTGCGTGTGCAGGTCTTAATGTCCTTCCCCCCCAAGGTGTGACAGTTGTTTTATCTGTTTGATGTAATCAAATTATCAAGAGTGTCTAATGTATAGATTTCTATGATTTTTAGCATCTCTATTTGACTTACCAGTGAACGTTTTATGTTGGGGTGCCTGTCGATTTCCAACGACATGCGCTGACCCTCCTCAAAAGTCCTTAACGGCAACTGACGTATCTGCTCACCCTCATCTTCAATTTTTCAATTCATCGCGGATTTCCAAAAGTGTTTCCACAACCACCCGCTGGAACTCTTAGTGAAAAGATATGATTTAGTTACATTCAATTCAATAATTACAATACATAACATAACAACATTTTGTACTTTAGTTATGCCACTCTTACTTTTTTACTGTCCACAAAACACGGAGTGTGCAATAGTGTGCGGACATCTTTGGGCAAATTGTGGCCATGTTTGCGGAGGATCGCCAACATCTTATTAACACTACTGTGAGTCTGCTTTGTTTCTACAGCCCAAGCTGCCACATCCTCTCTTAGGCTTGACAGTTCATCTTCGGTTTGGGAGTCCAAGTCAACAAGCTCGGTTTCTTCATCACTTGTGTCTGGATATTCACTATAACCGTAGTCCTCTTGATTATCAGGCTCTTCTTCCAAGGTTGTATTGAAAGAAGTACTTCCTAAAGTGTCGTCTGTTAACTGGCCAGATTGACTTGCCATACCCTCTAGTGTGTCCTCCAAATGCTGTGCTTCAAAAGATGTTGTCTCATTTGGTGGTTGGCCAGATTGACTTGCCCCACCCTCCTCTTGTGTGTCCTCCATCGACACATCCTCATCACTGGTATATTCATCTAAGAAATCACCCTCCCAAGCTCTTTTTCTCCGCCACTCTTTCAAATAATTAGAGGCCATATTCAATATGGCTGGAAAGAAAACACATGGAAAAAAGAAAGTAGAAAAATAATAATGTTAATAACACTGTGAGCTTGTAGATCAACCATTATAAAAAAAAATAATTTTTTTTTAGTACAATTGGCAACTTGTGAAGCAGGACATAATGCATAATAAATACCTTTTGCTCTTGGTAGAAAAAAAAAATAAGTCAATACCAATACTTTTAGATTTTTACTATTAGCATTTCCTATAGTACTGCTAATGCATTAACAAAATAATATTGGAATAATTCAACTAATGCGTCCCATTTCTACCACACATAGTGAAAAAACCATCTATGACAATTACAGTTAAACACAAATTTAACTATATAAAAAAAATAACACTGGATAAACAAAAACAACAGTCCTGGCATCAAAGTAGACTTCATCTTCTGATTTAAATGGATAGCCTAACTAGCAGCTTTTAACCTTGGCTCCAACAGAGAGAGCAGGCCCTTATTTACTTTCACGACAACACACGTTAGCATGGACTATTTGATGCTGTTGGGCCCACGCTGGCTAAACTAGCCACAAGCTAGCCCTCGTAGTAGCAACCAGGCTACATGCGAACTTGAGTTTAACATTTGCCGTGAATGCATTTCACCATCACACATCATGATGCACGACGGTGGGAGGACCAAAGCTTGCAAAAATAAACATTTTCTATAATATCTACTTCAGCACCCACCTCTTTTTCAGCTGAACTCTTGAACTCTGGAACGACTGGAACTTCTGGTGTAGTCCGACGGTCGTGAGGTCGAGTGTGGACAAAGCGCAATGCTTCAGCCGGATGTTGTGTGGTCCACAATTTGAAGCCGTTTTCATGTTATGGTCAGATTATGGTACGATCTCCATACGGGTGTAAAGCTGGTCTCTTGCAGAGCTACCAAATACTTTTTTGTCGCTCATCTCGTGTTCTTGCGACTATGCCAATAACTTTTATCACAGACTACTTCGCTCTTGGTGGAATAAGAATGTACCCGAAGTGGTTGCATGGTGGGTCACGTGAGCGTGCTCCACCAATAAGGTGGCTGGATTATTGTCACGGCGGCAGCCGGCATTACCAAAACGGATAAAACACATGAAATCTAATAATTAAATGGAATTTCAGCGACCAGCTTTGTTGTCGAGTGCTCAGCAGGACCAAGGCTTTAAGATCCAGAGTTTTTTTTTTTTTTTTTTGCCATATATGCGTTTTGACCGGATAAGGCAACAACACTGGTCACGCTCCGGAGTATGATTGTAGTCCCATAGATTGAGATCAGTTCTGCAACGTTCAGTTATCATTTTAAATAATCAACTCTTGAATGGTGGATTAAAATCGATTGTCTAGATTCAGTCTATATGTAGACGTTGAAATGAATTATAAATTTTTACTTCTAAATCACGTCTAAAAATAGACCGAATCCCAACGTTGAAATGAAGTATAAATTAATACGTGTAAATGACGTCTACATCTATACTATGTTGCATATCTCTCCACGATATAAGTAATGTAATCCAGTATTTAGAGGTCATTCATGCACATTACAGTTGTTTATTGCATAAAAAGTTATTGAAAAATGAAGTTAAGGGCGAAGTATAAATCACGTCTAAAAATAGACTGAATCCCGACGTTGAAATGAAGTATAAATTTAGACTAGACGTCTAATATACGTCTTTTGCTCAGTGGGTAGTAGAGAGCTCTGTGAAATTAGAGATCTTTGATACCTAAAAGGCCTTTGTCCTGCCAAATACAAAATGTCAGCTCGGAGGTAGAGGGTGCAACTAGGTGTTTTTTTTTTAAAACAGGGGCTTAAGAGAAGAGTGATTCAAACCGAAGTGTTTACGGAATTGTGTCCAGATTCTAATTATATCAGTGACAACTGGGTTCATGGAGATAGCATGAATCTTCAGTGGCAGTTGGCCAGTAACAATGGAGATAAGAGAAAATTTCAATTGCAGCATCTCCATTTGATCCAATGAGGGGCAAGTGTTTGTCTCTGCCTTTGTCCAGAAACATATTTTATCAATATTATATGCCCAGTAGTACTGAATAAAGTTGGGCAAAGCTAGACCGGCAAATTTCTTAGGGAGCTGTAAAATGGCTTTCTTGATTCGTGGGGGTTTATTCACCCACAAGAAAGCTGACACCATCTGATAGAGCTGGTGAAACAAAGACTTTTTCATATAGATTGGTAGATGTTGAAAAAGATACAAGAATTTGTGGAGGATCACCATTTTCATAGCCATTTAATTGCTCAAGTATTTTTAGCACCCTGGAGAATGGGGTTCATCTGGAAACCACAGCCGGCTGCAGGCTGGTCCCTTCTAGTTCTGGCAGCCATGGCAGCCTCTATTTGCCTCAGTCATGTTGGTGATCTCTGGTTGGCTTATTGTCCTTCAGAGCTGCTCTGAGGTTTTTGACACGCACACACACACACACACACACACACGCAATTGTTTATGTCAAGCTTATTTCAAGCTAACCCTGAGTACAAAGAGGAGGCAGTAAATCTTCACTGTTTAGTCAGGCTGGGATGAATGGATGGGTGTGGATCCTCAGTGAGTGCATTCAGTGACACTCAGCAGCTCATTGTTCCTGTTGATCCCAACCCCCAGCTGTCAGATTAACCCTCCACTTGCTGTTGTCTGGCTCCTCTCAGATAACACTTAGCACCTCGCGGCTGTTCTTCCACTAAGTGTGACTTTGTTGGCGTTCTTGGCGTTCCTAGCAGCTCTAGTACAGAGCTCTATCCTGGAGCTGCTGTTGGTCTAAGGATGGCCCTGTTGTCTCTCCATCAGGAACCTCTTTGAAAACAATCCCCTCAAATTCCTGCTGACACTCGAGCCACTGCAGCTTCACTTCACCTGCGTTCAGAGCTGAGAGGTCAGAGGTCACGGCTGGTGGTCCACACACAGAGCAAATATTCCCTCCAATAACTTACTGGAGAGTTTGATCCTTCAGGGTGCAAACCAAATCTTAAATGACTGCAGATAGGTGGCAGTGGGGTGACGTCTAAGATTATTACTGCTGAAGTTTTAGCCTGCTCAGGTACTGCTGGGAGAGAACTTAACTTTAACTTAACTATTTTAATCTTAACTGTTTATGTAAATTCATGACTATGTTTGTAAATTTTCAGCATTAACCTTGAAAATTTACAGTTTTTGTTGCAATTTTCTTTACTCTTTTGTGTTAATTCATGCCTGTGATCTTAAACTTTAAACCCTAATAACTTTTGTCTTGCAAATATTCAAGTTTTTCACATATTTTTTTTTTTCAGTAAATGTGCTATCTTTAAACTGTCCTCTTTTTAATCATTGAAACTAAAAATTTTAACCTAGTAAAATTAAGTTTGTGCAAAATGTTCAGCTTTTTCATGGAAATGCAGGACTTCATACTCAAACATTGAAGTTTTTTTTCTTATTTTTACTTACATCTTGTAAATAATAAAATTGTTAAAATTTGAATAATTCAGTGTAAATGTATGATTTCTATCTCAAAAAAACAAACAAAAAAAAACTTCACAATGTTTTTCTCAAATTGTGAAACATTAATCTCAAAATCTTCATTAGTTCCTTTCCTTATTGTGGCCTTTATCCTTTGATGTAGTATTAAACATGTTAGACATTTTTTTATTGTCGGAATCTGAAATCGATTATGTATGTTGATGTTTGTGTTTCTCAAACTGAACAGAAAACAAAACCAAGAGTCAGGTTTATTTTCCTTGGTATGTCAGTAACTGAAATGTATCCTAAAACAAACCAATTCAAAACTCTTCAGCTCACCCACTCAGAGGGCTGAAATGCCTCTGTCTGATGAAGACACAAATGTAGAGCTCTGTCAGTACAGTCTGACTCCACTGCACATCCTACATGTTTCGCTCTGTTAAGCTTCCCACCAGCGAGTCATTTACTTCCTGTTTGTCCAGCTGTCTCCATGACAGACTCACAGTAACACCCAACACGTGGCTCACCCAGCACCAGAGGTCAGAGGTCAAACTGTCGACTACTAATGTCTCACCAGAGACCTTGAGCGCTTAAATAAATCTAGACAGCTGACACACAAACACATTGTACACTGAGAGGGTTTTTGGCTCAAATTCCAGCACAGCCCACAGTCTGTCATCTGGGTCAGCGATGGACACGCTAGAGATCAGCCTGAAGTCAGCTGTCAGTTAAATGTTTCAAAACTTGCATTTTTGCTGTGGTGCCACCTTCAGACACAAATACACATTACAAAGTCATTACCTGGCTTTATTACATATCACCTGGCTGTTTGAAATACTTAATTCTGATTGGTCAAAACCCTGTATCAAGGAAAATTAATTTTGAATAACAATTATGCAAGCTGATCACAAGCCACTCATATGAAATCCATCTACAAATAAGAGTTTGGCATAGAGGGCATAGAGGACACAGAGGACACGCAGACTTGTCCAGGTCGAGCTGCACGAGAAATAAGAGGAAGAGGAAGAAAGAAAAGGAGGGAGACGAACTACATATCTTGTTACTTCATCATGTTTGTCTATTTACTAGATCTTTAATTTAATTTAATGCGGTTTCAGCTGTGTTGATTCGGTCAGGTTGTGTGTCCAAACGCGTGCCAAACGCGCTCATCAGATAAGATAGAGATCAGAATATATCTATATAGATCTAAATGTATGTGCTGACTCAGATTAATAGTTGTTGATGATTATTTATTGCACTGAAATGTGCCTGAAACTGTGGACACCTGCCGGTGAGGTATCGGTGACGTATGTCGATACGCCTGCCAAAATACCACTAGACCAGCTGCGCTCTGCCTGTGCTGAAAGCTGACCAGGTTTGAATCGGCGAGCTTTTAGCGTACTTTATACGCCACCAGTGAGCATGAAAATGTCACTGCGCCAGCTGATTCTGTCGACACCTCCCTCTGCCATGCCACCACGCCCAGCTTGGCGGACCTCGGTGTCCCTCAGTCCACGAAAATACCAAACTGGCTGTACGCCGGGCTCCGCCAAACGAAAATACCACTGCGCAGGGTCCACCACCCTCCGCCGCCTCACCGGCGGACACGAAAATAGAGACCTCAGTTTTCACCTCAATCTCGTTGGGACTCTTTTCCCTATGACCACAGACTGTGTATTGTTCTACACTCACAGTGGGTCATTTCAGAAAGTCATGCAGGAAAAAAGGAACAGGTCACTGTAGAAACAGATCATCGGAGGAAAAAGGTCCAGTTTTAACAAGTCTCAAACTAGTCTGGAGGAATAATATTCACTAAAGATGAGCCCCATCTTTTTACCATCTTAGCCCTCAGCAGTAAGCTTGACTGTTTTTAGATACCTGCACTGAGAAGTTCCTATGGTGTTTGTGGGAAGACTTTGAGTTACACAGACGTTGTGAATCAATTTAAATGTAATTATTATTTTTTTATTTCCAATGTGTAAACAGACTGTCTGTGACTTGTAAAAAATGAGTGTGTGTGTGTGTGTGTGTGTGTGTGCGTGTGTGTGTGTGTGTGTGTGTGTGTGTGTGTGTGTGTGTGTGTGTGTGTGTGTGTGTGCGCGTGTGTGTGTGTGTGTCAGTGGCGGCTGGTGAGAAAAATACTAGGTGGGGCTGAAGGTTTGGAAAACAGAGCCCTGTAGGGGGGTCCGGGGGTATCCTCCCCCGGGATGTTTTTTTAATTTTCAAAAGGTAAATGAAGCATTCTGGTGCTTTCTAAGAAAATAATTCAGGAAACATACAATGTTGACCTACAAAGACAAATGGGGTGAGGATACTATATTTCAACTTATTAACAGGGTATTATAGCCGACACACAGCCTACCTACATTTAATGTAATCCTATGATATAGAGACTGACAGTAGCATACTCTTACTCGTGTACATTAACCTGCATCTCAACAGGTTAGGCTACAGCAAAGGAGCACACAAAGGCAACTGCAGAAAAGTAGTGAGGAGCAGACCCACATTTATGACAAATCAGGCTGCATATCGAAGTGATCAGCCATGGAAAACAACATTAACATTTGCTTTAAATACAGATGGTTTTATTACATTTGATATTTCAGTTGAACTGAATTGAAACTGGGTGAACAAATACAGGGTTCCCAATCTTTTATCGAAATCATTTTACAGGACCTTTTCATCCTGCCTTAAAAGTTATTGATTTCTAACATTGTGGCATGAACATTGTCTGTTAGCTTTCTTTTTAGTCTGGCTTTTATGTAGTGTCTCACTATAATATATTTATGGTTTATATTAGGTTTTAATCTTTATATACTCTACTTTTCTACAAACAGATTCTGCTGATTGACTGTTTCAGTAGTTGAAATTTTATTTTGCCAGCTTTATAATTTCTTTTTGTCACAATTAATTTACACAGAAAACAAAATAGGGTCTTACTCTTTGGACTTCCAGTTAGCCATGCTTTGCCCCTATACCATGCTCTTGAAAATGTCCACGTATATTGTCTGCTCTTGCTGAGCGGCGACATCTGATTGATCCAGACCAAGCTCTTCCAGCTTAAGTTAGTCCTGCAGAGTTCTCCTCCCAAATGGGACCTACTTGATGGACAGCACAGCTTTCTCCGGTAAATCACTTGGTAGTGGGTTTGTGGTAGCCATTCCCACATCCTCTGTCATTAGCAGCCAAGTGCAGAGTGAGGGGCAGACCAGCTCCGATTTGAGCAGCTAGCTACGTCAGACGCACATTGTAGCTATACGTCCATTTGTGGCCAATCTGGTTATGAACGTGCTTATGTCACTCAAATTTGGGACGCTTGTGCGCTTGTCCCTGGTGCCCCTTAAGGATTTTTTTTATTTGGCTAGGATAAGCTAACTTTTCAATGCAGAACTGTGATCTGGGCATGTGTGAGGGAGCAGAAAGCCTGGGCGCTGGCCCGTAGCACCCCTAACACTAATGCACAACTGTGATCTGAGCATGCATGAGACAACAAACGTTCCGAGTCCGCCCCAGCAGTGGGTGGAGAGATCGCTAATGGACTGAAACACACATGATTAATATAATAGCGCCATTTCCTTACTTTGACAATAATTTTTAGGGAGACAGCAGACATCTCTTTTTGCTCATGCAGCTCAGGCGGGGCCCTTATACCGGCTTATACCGGGCACGACTGGTCTATGTATGTGTGTGTGTGTGTGTGTGTGTGTGTGTGTGTGTGTGTGTGTGTGCGCACACCCCTCTGGTGTCTGTTAAAACCACTGAGTGTATTTAAACTGTGTGCTTCAACCTGAACAAATGAAGCCACATTGCACTTCAGTCCAGATGTGAAGTCCAGATGTGATTTGGACCCCTTCTTCTTCTTCCTTGTCATTGTCCAACTAGTGTATTTCATGATGCCACACTGACTACAGAATACCAATGTCACAAGTTTGTCCAATGTGAGCTACTGTAGAAACATAGAGGTGGAAGGTAGCAGCCTCTGTGAAAGGGGACTTGCTCATGAATACAGACCAAAGACTCTTTCTGACTTACAAGAACAGAGTGATTCAGGGCAAACCAGGGGTTAAAACATTGCTTTATCATTATCAGGACACATTTCTTAGCTGTGGCCGATTTTCTTCTTTTCTGCAGGAAATGAGTGCAGCTGTAATGTGACTAACAGTCGCTGTGACGAGTCAGGAGTCTGCAGGTGAGGACATTGTCAATGACAAACTGGTTTAGCTGGAAGTCATTTAAAGTCAGTAACTCCAGTCAGTTGACATCACTAAAACGAGGTCCATGTTTTACTGTCAATCCATAAAATCAATGAATATATGAATATGAACAAACATGTAACTGTGGCCCTGTATCCCTGTGTGTCTGCAGATGTGACCCTGGGTGGGACAGCGAGCATTGTGACCGCTGTGTGCTGATGCCCGGCTGCCTGCATGGGTTCTGTCAGCAGCCGTGGCAGTGTATCTGTAAACCGGGCTGGGGAGGACGCTTCTGTGACAAAGGTCTGACACCAGCATGAAGTTTTTAACTGCAGCAGAGGCAGTACTCACACATCCTTGGACCAAGTCAGCTAATTTTAACAAAATAATTATTTGTATTTATAGACTGTAAATAAGGTGCAAATAAACACCTTCTACGAAAACAAAGGTTATGTTACTTTTTGTTCACAGCATCATCCTGAGCTGTTAATTTGCTTCTGTAATGACCAACAGTTACACCAGACATACTAGAATAAAGGATTTAAAACCCAGATTAAACTGGCTTTTTATGGCAGACAAAGGCCACTAAGCATTTTACGCTGTGCCAGAGAAAAATGCATCATATTTACCATTTTTGATGCACAGACATTAATAATCCTTCTTTTATTTGCAGTTCTTTGCTTTTCTGCATTATATTTCAACAGCTCTGAAAATTTCTAAAGAATATGTATAACTCAGGCCATGAAACTGACTTCAGGGATCCAAGTCAGGGACTATGGTGTTGTTGGATCTCTGTGTCATGAGCTGTGTTTTGTTGAATCCACTTCCTGTTTTATTTTGAAGATCCTGTTTTCCCTGTGTTACTGTTACTTTGACTTTCTGTCTTTGTTCTTTTTCCCGCCTTAGTTAATTACCCCATTGGCTTCACCTGTGTCTTGTCCTCTTTTCTATTTAACCCCTTCTCACCAGCTCTTCCCTGCCAGATTGTTTTCATCGCTTTTGTACAAGCTCTCTCGCGTTCTTGATATTTCTCTGCCCTCCATGTTCGACCTGTTTTGATCTCCCTGGACTTCTGATTCTTGCCTGCCCCATCGGTTTTGTCGCCTGATTATTGCTGCCCTTTTGGTTTTGACCCTGCCGGGTTTGTTCTGGATTAAAGAGCTTGCCTTTTGGAAACAGAACATTTGCCTCATGTCCTCTGCTTTTGGGTCCACACACCCTCGGCCCTTTCCACTCTGGGCTTTTCATGTTAAAGGTCTTCATAGATAATAAAGATGTTGTTCAGTGTTTGAGTTTCTTGGGATGGGATTTTTTATTACCATTACAAGGTCTGGTTTCTAACCATAGACTGTTTACTATGGACAACTTGGTTCCGCCTTCCGCCTGTATACGGATTTGAAGCCAAAAAGCTCTCTGTATTTCCGGGATTTTTCTTCATTTTCTGAAACCAGCGCTGCGCAGTAGCAATGCGCGCATTCGGCCGCGCAGTCGCCAAGAGTCACTGTGACGACGCTCGGCTCAAACAGCGTATCCTCCCGGGTGAGCTACGCAATCCCTGAACGCCCATAGGCTTTATCAGGTGTCAATCATAGAAAACATGAACCCCCTAATAACTTTTAAAAACGGAGCTTCAGAGAAAAAAGAGGGCTTGAGCACAAACCAATCTTACAATAACTACATGTCAACATCACAAGCAGGGGGGAGAAAAATGTATGTTCTGTGTAATAAATTTCTAAAGTTTGTCCACAGCGCCATAAGCTTTGCTGGTGGAGGCGGGATTTATGACCTTAACTGCAGCCCATCAACAGAGGGTGCTGTTCTTGGAGTGGCTTCACCCAGCAAGGAGGCAGACTGTCCATTCTATATACATTCTATGTTTCTAACACATACCAGGGTACTAAAATACCTTTTCAACCAGAAAATAAGATAATTATCTGGACATATCAGATGGGCTTTTATATATCTTTTATTCAGTCAAATAAGACACCTTTCACTAGAAAAAGACAAAAATTTTGCCTAATCTGTAACTTTGAGTTTTTGTATTTTTTCTTTGCATTTCAATGCGGCCACAACCTTTTGGAATAAATACAGATGTGTTCGAGGATTCTTGTGATTCTAAAGAACTTAATTAAACTATTTTTAGGGGTACATTTGCTCAGTAAAGACAGAAAAGTTAAATAAATGCTGTTTATTTCCATCAACTCTCCATGCCATCCCTGCATAATTCATTGCCAAAGCCGGACCACCAATAATACCAAGAAACAAAAAGACTGAGACCCAGTGAAGTTTAAATCTGCCCCCACTGAAGTTTGAGTTCATGTTCATGTGTCTGGTCTCTTGTCCTCTTTCAGATGTGTTTGTGTGCTCGCAGCAGCAGCCCTGTCAGAATGGAGCGACCTGTGTGATGGAGGACAGCGGCGAATACACATGTCTATGCCCTGAAGGTTTCCACGGCAGAGACTGTCAGCTGAAGACAGGACCTTGCCACCAGAGGAGGTCTGCATAGGTGTTCATCTTCACCTGTTCTCATCCAGACTTAAAACAAAAAAGTAAATCTAGACCAAACTCCATTAACATAGACCCAAGGTGAAGACTGGATCAAACTAAGCCCCATCCTGAACCTCTTTAATCATTCATATCATTCGGGCATCTCCAAACTATTCCATAAAGGGCTGGTGTGGCTGCAGGTTTTTCTTCCAACCAAGCAGCAGAACACCAGACTTGATTCATTTCATTAGCTGATCTCAGTCTTCAGACAGCTGATTGGTCAGACTGTATGCTTTTGATTGGTTGGAAGAAAAACCTGCGGCCACACCGGCCCTTTGTGGAATAGTTTGGAGATGCCTGATTTGATTGTTTTCAGTCAGTTCACAAGCTGTCAAAAGTAACCTATACTTAAAAATAAAAGCCCAGTTTGACCATGACGCTACCTAAACACAAGGTAGAATAGTATAAAAATTTAAACATGACACTGGTTTGCTGAAGCAGTGTCTTCTCCAAAGAAGTTTCTATCCCTGGGCCATTGATGTGGACGAATCATAAAATTGAATATTGTCAGAAATGTTGTCACAGTTGCAGTCTACCAGTAAAAAGATCCATATGGGTCTAACCAGAGCTGAGAATAAACAAAGTGCAGGTTTTTCTTTATGTACAAGTGTGCACAGGGAGACAAATCAGAGTAATAACATGTGCAGACAAAAAAAAAGCTGTTATCCACATGTGATGTCATCACAAACGGACGAAGGAAAGGACCCCTCATGAGTCTTAAACATATTTTGTTGTTCACGTCCTCCTTATTTCATTTCCCTACCTCTCTCTCATCCATCTCTGGTGGGCAGGACTAAGACACAGGTAAATGAACAAGCAAGGGATGCAGGAGTAAAATTTTAGAGCTTTGATATATGGCCATAGCTTAAAGAATACAAAATGTTTTTTTTTTCTCATGACAAACTGCATTAATTCTGTAATTTGATCCAGCAACATTATATTAACATTTCAATTTGTCGTGAACCTGATGAACCAACAACTTCCCACCTGCCTCAGCTGCTCTCACAAGAAGAGGTCCTCTTTGAACTTTTCTCCTTTATGTGTGTCCTGCTGTCTCTAGGTCTCCGTGTAAAAATGGCGGTCAGTGTGAGGATGCAGATGGATTTGCCGAGGAGTTGACATGTCGCTGCCTCATTGGTTTCACAGGGCTGCGCTGTGAGACAAATGTGGATGACTGTTTGATGAAACCATGTGCCAGTGGAGCAACTTGTCTGGACGGCGTGAACCGCTTTTCCTGCCTCTGCCCTCCTGGCCTCACTGGACGCTTTTGCACGGTCAACCTGGATGACTGTGCCAGCCAGCCTTGCCTGAATGATGGCCGCTGCTTGGATCTTGCTGGAGGTTTCCATTGTGTGTGCAGGCCGGGCTTCATGGGAGTCACTTGTGAAACAGCGCTTACGAGTCACAGCAACCCTGAACCCAACTGGACAACTGTGGGCTGGGAAGGAGGTGGAGGAGGCGAGGTTAGACCACGGCTGTCTACAGTGGGTAATAACCAGAGGAGTAGCACCACCAGCAAGAACAACAGCAGTGGTCATGGCAACAGGCTGCTTAAAGTGACAATGAGCGAGCGCAGTGCTCCTGGTCTTTCAGAGGTGCAGCTCATCATCCTGCTGGTTTTGGCAGGGATGACACTGGGCGTGGTGGTGCTGACTGCTGCTCTCATATTGCATGGTCACTGCAGGGGTTGTAACCACGCCCCCTGCTGGCGTCTGACATCATCATCATCACAGCAGGGAGGTAAGAGGAGTGACAGGGAAGCCTGCACAGGTGAGCAGGAATGTAGGATTAGCTTCCTCAAAGTTTCAGAACAAGAGAAGAAGAAACTGAACACTGATGTCATGTACACTGAAAGGGCGAGCCCTCAAACTAACAGAGAGAGAGAGAGAGACAGACAGACAGACAGACAGACAGAGAGGGAGACAGAGAGGCTGGAGGACAGGCTCTCTCGCCCAACTCCATAAAGGTCAGATCAACCTGTTTTTTATTTTCAGGTCTGAACAGGGTCCAACTCACTGAGATGAGTTTAAGTCTTGCATATGTTCGTATGATTAAGAACTGTGACATCACAACATGTATATTTAGATTAGTCCCAACACATGTGACATTACCTGGTGCCTTCATCACCCACAGTGCACCTCATCTGTGGACAGCTGTGCATAGACTGTATGATACACAGATGTAAGTGTTGTAAAGCCAAAATATATCTGATTTGGTTAGTGTCAATTTTGTAAGGAATAATACCACTGTGAGTTCAAATGAACTGGAACATAGACTCTGTTTAAACCTTTTAAAATGCAGCCTGTCTTCATTATGTCAAATGTTTTACCTCAAACTGTTGTTTGTTAATTACACTATAAGAAATAAAATAAAATAAAAAAAAAAGTATTTCATCATGCAGCTTTGTGAATGTGAATTTAATGTGTTTTTACATAGTTGTCATAATTGTGACTCTACATTTTTAAACTTAAATCTTTTAAACAAATAGATAAATGTTGTGAGTAACAAATCAGATCTACAGAACCTGGTGGTGAAATTGACTTGATGTGGAGATGTTCAGTTAGGGACTTGTTTTCTTCACCTGTGTTATTTCTTGTTGTTGTTTTCTGGTGTAAATGTACTTCCATAGCTCACAGACATTCAGTCCTTCAGAGAATAACCCGTCCTCAGAGAACGTGAGCTCTAAGAAAACATATTATTGTTGTTCTTTTAAATTTTTATACCAAGTTTTATGTGTGGGTGAATTCACTGCTCAGTGTGCCCCTCACTATTATGTAGTAATAAAACAGAAAGGCTGCGTCCTTCGACAGCTTTAAAGCTAATTTATTGCCCTAATTTATCAGTGGATGTGAGTGTGATGTTCTGTGCTGTGCTGAGAGTCAGAAGTTTTTATTACAAACTGTGTGCAATAAAGTTGTGAATGATGAGCTCTGAAACCTGTTAGCAGGCGTTTTTGTAAACAGACAGCAGACATGACAGACTGCAAGAGAAAACCAGCTATGAGATATATTATGAAAGAAAAACTGTCATATTCAAAGCTAATCAGTCCCACATCACGTTTCAAGTAGGAACTGGAACAACAGTTCCCTCATGTGTATGTGTCCTTGGATCTTCATTTGTATTTGATCTGCCATGTATAAACTGGTCTCTTTGATGGCTCAAAAGATGAACTTTGCTTTCAAATTTAGAAATGTTTATTTATTTTAAGCCCTGATCACTGCATAAAAACAAATGTAATTCAACCCTGGGGTAAACTTATACTCTATTAGCTTGATTTAAAACATACTACCCCTCTTTGATGGCTAATTTCTGAAAAACATAGTGTAAATGTTCTCCTGGTGTCCCTGTATTAAATAAAAATAAATAAATTGAGATACTCTCTCTAGTGCTCTTTCCATGGAAATGTGTGAAAATGTCCTCAGTAGCTGCTTGCCTAAAGGATAAAACATAAATAAAGTATGTCCTTCAGTTACATAATAAGAATAATAACGATTTTTATTTATATAGCACTTTTAAAATTGACATCACAAAGTGCTTCGCAAATATGAAAGCTCAAAAAGGAATTAAACAGGGAGGCTAAAAAGTGAAACATATAGATAAAAGATGACACAGCTAATATAGGAAATTCATAAAATCATACTTAGAGCAATTAAAATCAGTTGGGAAAGGGAAACAACACATTAATCAATGAATACCCAAAATGAATAATTAGATAAATAAATTATATATATATACATATGACAGAAGTAAAGAAATGCACTTCTCCTGTCCTTTTGTCATGGCCATAGAGCCAGGTTATGACACATTTGATAAAAATATTTTTTCAGAAGTGGTTTAAAGGAGGACCCTGATTTAGCTTGTTGGAGATCCTCTGGCAGGTTGTTCCACAGCTGAGGGGCCTGAACAGCAAAAACTTGATCTCGTTTAGTTTGTAGATTTGAGGTGGGAACACTAAGGAGGTTCCTGCTGAGGATCTGAGGCTTCACACAGGATGGTATGGGGACAGCAGGTCTGATATGTATTCAGGGGCCAGACCATGGAGTGTTTTAAAGTAATGAGTAAACTTAAAAATCACTTCTAAAAGAAATGGGTTGCAGTGCAGGGTCATTAAAACTGGAGTGATGCTTTCTTTTCTGAGTTTAGCTGCCAAATTTTGGACTATTTGGAGGCAATTTATTATTTTCTGATTGATCCCTGTTGAAATATTATAACAGTGATCTAGTTGTGAGGAGGTAAAAGCATAATTAACTGTTTGCGTGTCATTAAAAGTCAGCACAGATCTTATTCTGGTGATATTCCTTCGATGATAAAAGCAAGATAGGATAACCGCGTATGTACAGTATGTTTCTGAAAAGTGAGGCTGTAGACAAAGAAACTCTGAGGTTTCTCCCATTTCTTTTTACATTGAGTGAGAGAAAACCAAGGGAGGACTGAATCTGGGGTTGTAACTTCGTTGAGCCAGTAATGAGTATTTCAGTTTTGTCCAGGTTTAATTTGAAGAAATTTGCTGCCATCCAGTTTGTAATATCAGCAAGGCAGTTTGTGAGGTTTGAGAGGTTTTCATTGTTGGACATCAGCATAGAAATGGAATGAAATGTTGTGTCTCCGCTACATCTGTAAAGTTCTAGTTGATTGGTCGACTCTTGGTCGATACGTGCTTAGTCGACCAAAATTCTGATTGGTCGACTCAATTTTTTTCCGCATCAATTTACAGTTTATGGTTAATTTCATCAGGAGTAACGTACCAAGTGCAAATGGGGGTGTCATCAGAGCATTTCAGCACCATTTTGGATTCGCCCAACCCACTGTAGACCGGCTGGAGACAGGAAGATTGAAGAGCGTCCACAGTAATCAACGTCCAGTGGTTTGCTGAATATAATATTTGTGTTTAATTGCCTTCATGTGCTGATATCAGTATATTTTCACCCTGCCGAGCCACGCTCCACCAAGCCATGTCATCCTGCACCACAGAAGGGTTAGATTGGTTTGTTTGATTTCATCAATGAGTTGTAATGACAGTCTTCTTCCAGATTTTGGCAAAAGAAAAGGTAGCTTTGAAATTGGTTGATAGTTGCTAAAGTTTAACAGATCCAGGTCTGTTTCTTTGATCACGGTTGCACACAGGCAGTTTTTAAATATTGTGGGATGCAGGCAGAAGAAAGGGAACTGTTGATTATTGACAGTAACCATGGAGCTGTCACATCAACAAGTTCATTCAGGAATTTTGGGGGGGAGCTTATCTGCAGGGCTGGAAGAGCATTTTAGCTGTGCAGTGGTAGTGATAAGGTCATTTAAAGACATGTGATGCGATAATGTGGTTAGGACAGGAGACATCGGTAAAAGAATCTGGGGCAAAATTTTGTAATGTATTTCCTTGATTACATCATTCATTTGCCCACACAATCATACCCTGGTGGTGGTCAATTACTATAGCTGACACAGCTGTTGAATGTGGCCGCCAATTCATGCCTCTCCTACCATCACCAAACAGCACAGACAATCATACACCAGTGGAGGACACACACTGGGAGAAAGGTGGGTTAAGTGTCTTGCCCAAGGACACAACAGACAGACTAGGGATAGAGGGGAATCGCACCGCCAACCTTCTGGTTATTGGACTACTACTCTACCTCCTGAGCTACTGCAGCCCTTTTGATGACTCACACTAATTAAAAACCTACAGGATTCAAAAGACAGTCCATAGGTCCATCCGCATAGGATGTGCAAAGGAGGTTAAATCATGAATTAATGTCTCTGTGTCTGAGCGATAGATTGTACATACTATGGGCAACTTGGCTCTGCCTTCTGTCATTTTACAAATTTGAAGCCAAATTGCTCTCGGCATCCCCAGGATTTTTTCCACTTCCTGGAACCACCAGCTGCACTGTAGCATTGTCCGCATTTGGCAGGTAAAGTCGCTGTGATGATGCTCAGCTTAAACAGGTTGGCTACGCAATCTTCATACCCCCATAGGCTGTATCAAGTGTCAATCACAGAAAACATGAATTTAAATTCAAATTCAACTTTATTTATATGGCACTTTTTGTACATGCTTGCAATTTAAAGCACCTCACAGAGGCTTAAAAACAATAAAACTCAACCCTCCCACACACACACACACACACACCCATAAACTTACACACACACACGCGTGAGGAAAGAGCTACCTTTAGAAAACACTGGAGATAAAAAGATAAAAAGAAAGAGTAAAACCTGATGTACTAAGGCAAGAAGATAATATAAAATAAACTAATCGGTAAGAGCTCTATAGCATGTAGAAGGGGTAAAAAAAACTAAAAACCTCATTGGAAAAATAAATAAATAAGTGTTGAAAGAAATAAAATCAATGAATTGATCAATACAATTTATAAAAAATACATGAAAAACTGAAAGCTGCCTCTCTTGGTGTATTGTCACCACTGCTGGATGTTCACCAGAGGGTGCTGTTCTCACGGAGGCTTCACCCAGCAAGGAGGCAGACGATGTTCATTCTATATACAGTGGCCCAATTCCAAACTCCACCCTAAGCCCTCAAGCCCTGCACCCTCATTAGCTTAAGTTAAGTCAGCTGGTAAGTGCTTGAGTGTGGGAGGGTTTAAGGGCTCCAAAAGGGTATAAAAGCAATGGAACAGCCCTTTGTGACGTCCCACGTTACCTTGACGACAGACAACAACGTTGCCGTGACAACCAAAGATGCGACTGACACTTGCTTCTCTGGGCCTCTTAATGCTCCATTAATTTCGCAGCCAGCAACGTCGCAGAAGAAAGGCCAACATTGTTCCCCCCCATTTGCACACACTTGCTCTTAAACATGGACAACAGGTAATTGGTAAATAATGATTAGATTGATAAATTATAAAACCAGCATTAATGATAGGTTAAGTAAGGTTATTGAATGGTTAAAAGGTTGAAGCACTAGATTCTGAAAGTAATCACTGCTTTAGAGTGTTAGTTCAGTATAAAATGTATTGATTCAGATAAAAGTTTGAAGTAAAAATCAATTGTCTTTGTTATAAGAATAACGCATGTGTGTGTGTATGTGTGTGTGTATATATGTATGTATATATATATGTATATATACATACATATATATGTATATATCCATATATACCAATAGACCTGATAATTCCAGCAGGTGAGGTGGACGACAGATAAGACCGTGGCCACGGCAGACTCTCTAGGATGAGTCTTAAAGACCTCTTTGAGGAACTGGACTCGATCCGCCTGCTGGGATCCGAATGGTTGACGGAAATCCGAAGCCAAGGGGAAAGACAAGTGGTGAGTTGGTCTTTTATAAAAAGGAACGTAGAATGATTGAGATTTGCTCTGTGTAGAGAATGTATAAAAGACCAAAAAGGATCCGCGGGTCCTACGTAAATCCGTGGAAAAAGGACGCGCGGGTCCTACGTACATAAATCCGTGGAAAAAGGACTAACGGGTCCTACAAATCCGTGAAAAAAAGGACGGTAGAGTCCTAATTGGAAAAGTTAAATTGAAGGACGCGCGGGTCCTACAAAGCCGTTAAAAAAGGATGCACGGGTCCTACAAATCCATGGAAAAGAGGCCTACTAAACGTAGTAATAATAATAATAATAATAATGATAGTTAAATAATAAAAATAAAAACACGTGTTAAAAGTGTGATTATGAAAGTGTGAGAGTGATTGGAATAGAGATATATCACTAGATATATCCTATTCATACCAAAACAGTGGGATTGTAAGTAGTGACCTTATTGTGGAAGCAAAGGCAAGAATTCTCCACTCGCAAGAGTAGAAGCGAGAATTACCACATAAGGAATTTTTATCACTACCCCATTGAAAGAACCCAGCTTAATAGGACACCCTAGGTGTCACCTAAGCTGGACCAAAACACATAAAAATGGGGACGGAAGCCAGTATGGCTAAATTAGAAGAACTAAAATGTCAAGACTGGAAAGTCTTTCAGAAAAAGCCAGAAAAGTTACAATTTCTCGAAATTATGGGTAATCAAATTTGGGTTTGACGGCAGCCTAAGAACAAGCCAATTAAATAAACTACATGTCTCCATAAACGAAAAAAGCTATAAGTAAAGACAACTTAAATAATAATAATTTTAATAATAATAATACTGATAATAATGCAGAAATGAAAGGTAGAAAAGGCAGTTAAATGGCAGAAAGGTTTAATGCAGACTGCACATTTTTAGCAAGTTAAATTCTCTGTACAGTCTCTGTTCTCTGCACAAATGATAAAATGATACATCAAATGCCAGTTACGACCTTGACTCCTCCAGAGACACAGCAGCCAAAAAATCCCTCCCTATGCAGAAGCATGTAACTATCAAAAGACAAAACTGTGACTTAACTGTTACAGCCTATGAAGTACAAGTTGT